AGTAGTGAGTTGACAAAGGTACGTCAATTTGAAAACAGCCTGCGGATTAAAAGAATTATCAGTAAGTGTGACTTGTACGTGCCGAATGTAAAAGAGGTAAGCCTGTTTAACTTCGACTGTGTTTTTAACTGTGCACAATATCATTGTGCAAATGTTGACCAGTGTTAACAATTTTGAATACTTCAGTGAGTAGGAATTTGAATAATTCTTTCGCAAGAATTCCGCAAAGATTAATCAGTCTAAACGTGTGCAGTATGGCGTTTTTTTTTTCTGAGTTTTTCTCCGAACAATTTTCAGAAGAGTCATTATTAATATTATATATAATTTTTATTGATAACTCATGGTCACTCGGCTGTTTCGCTTATTAGTTTCCAAAAATAAATGAAACTCCCACTGTCACGAATACTGAAGGAGGCTTAGCAACTTTATAACCTGCCTTGCTGAACCTTTGGATAAAATAGTCATCCTACGATTATACACTCTTAACTTTCAAAGCTGGGAGGGATGAACGTGAGCGCGCGTGATTCTGCTTTTTACGAGGAGAGGCGATAAGATAAATGATAATTTAACGCCTATAATTTAAAAAAAAATGAAAAAGGGATTTCAATTGTTGTCCAGTGAAGACAAAAACATTGACCTAGCAACAACAGCACACCAAGGAGCAAATGAAACACAGATTATTTTAGCTCTGTCATTCTGTATCCAACGACGTATTGAGTATGGTTCGAAGTACCGTTTGGAATTCACGCGAATCTAGACTTCACTAATCACTTTGGCCGGGTTAGTCACTCGCTATCAGAAAGTGCAAAGTACTGGAAAAATCAAAACTTTTCTTCAACCAAGATCTGTTGAGGCATAATGTTTGCGGTGAACAGATTAATAATAATAATAATAATTAAAAATTTATAACGCGCCTTTTCCATGCAAATATGATCAAAAGCGCGTGACAACACGTAAATGTTAAAAGAAAATAAAAGCTAAAATGAGCAAAATAATTAAAGCTAAGAACAAACAACGCTAAAAGTTAAATAAAGATAAAAAACACTAAATATATTACATAGCAGGTTAAAAAATTACATATCAAAAGCTAGTCTAAAAAGATACGTTTTAAGTAAAGATTTAAAACGTTCAAAATTGTCCTCAAGACGGATGTGAAGGGGCAGATTGTTCCATAAATTTGGGGCAGCAGATGAAAAAGCACGATCCCCTAAAGTCTTTTTCAGTTTTGGACTAGGATACTTTAACATTCACGTGTAGAGGCAAACATGGCTAGGAGGCAAGCAAGCCTTCAGTTGGAGATGATATGCAAAATTTTGCAGCTCAGGAATGTGATTCTTTTCATACCTTTCAATTGACTCTGTCGGGAAAATTTGGTCGGTGCCATTGTCCTTTTGTTTCCTTTCTCTCGTTCGCTATTGTTTTCCTCTAACTAAAACATAAAATAAGTCAAAGGAACAACGAAAAGCGACCACGACCTCTAGTCAGGAAATTAGGCAAAGTTTTAAAATCAAAAAGCGTCAATCGTTTTATTCCAACCGTATACTGATTGTACTAAGCCTTAGAGCGGATTTCCATTCCCGCGTAATTTTTACGTGTGTTTTAAATTTGCGCGCGCGCAAATTTTAATCACGTTATAATAAGATAGAGACAAGATAAAACGTGTTGAGCATAAACGAGACTGAGTTGAGCGAAGATCAACTTTTACGCTTACTTGCGACCTTTTGTTCATTGTCTCTATTTTATTTGTGAACGTAAATTTTACGCACGTTACGTATTTTCTCTATTAAACGCCGGCCTCGAAAAAACGCCTGGTCTAAACTGGCGATTTTTGAATAAACGCTTGGCCGTTTAATCGAGAGAATACGGTACGCACGTAAAAATCACGCGACAGACCCTTTGATATGAGGGAAATAATGCAGCATTTATTCTTGGGGACCGTTCAGTTTTTTATCAGGTGTGGGGGGGGGGGGGGGGAGGCTGGGGGGATTTGAGGAGGGCCATGCCAAAAAATAGGGCAAGGAGGGGGGGGGCAGGCAAAAAAAAAATATTGGGTGTAAAGCGGTGGTCACCAAAAGAATTCTTTCAAGTTTTGCAGTGACGGTATCTGTGCTAACGAAGTGGGCAACGGCATTGAAAACGTCACCCAATTCGCGCTGCTTCAAACTTCATCACTCTTATGGCAACTCTTTTAAATTGTCAAATGTTTGCATATTTTTTCAAGAGTTGAATTCTAAAGGACTAAATCTAAGTTAACAAAAAGAAAAAGAAAATCGTTTCCTTGTGTTCCTCTCCTCCATAAAACGTGAAATTAGGACGTTTCACGTAGTATTCGTGCACGGCAAAGAAATAACGGTGTCACTACGGCGACGGCAACGAGAACGTCATGCCCAAAAAAGCAGTAGGTTAAGGTTAGCAAAACAACAATTTTGCACGTGCATCACTCTTTTTTGTACATTTCTTTGCTGTCACTGCACGACTACGACGTGAATTGCCTAATTTCACGTTTTATCGACAACGTATCCAAGAGACTTCAATTTGTAGAACACAATTTTTATCCAACAGACTTCAATTTGTAGAATACAATGGTTATGTTACGTCTCGTGCTAATATCATGTGTGGCGTTCCCCAAGGTTCAATACTAGGGCCTTTGTTTTTTCTGCCCTACATCAACGATATAATCAACACGTCAACAATATTACAACTGATATTATTTGTCGATGATACAAACGTTTTTGTGTCTCACAAGGATAAAGACTGCCTGACTAATATACTGAACGCTGAGCTAAATAAGTTGTCATTATGGTTTAGAGCTAACAGGCTTTCATTAAACTTGAAAAAAAAAAAAATTCATTGTATTTAAACCACGCCAAAAGCGTACAAATCAAACTATTCAACTTTTAATTAACAGCTAAAAAATTGATCAAGTAAAAGAAACAGTTTTCTTGGGAGTAATCATGGGTGAAAGTTTAAATTGGAAATCTGAAATCTCGCATGTCGCCAATAAAGTTTCTAAATGTACAGGAATTATTCGTAAATCCAGTTTCTATTTATCTACGAAAACCTTACGAACACTTTATTTTTCTCGAGTCTATCCATACTTTTTTTACTGCAACTTAGTTTGGGCCTCCACTTACAGAACTAACCTTATTCGTCTTGAGATTTTACAGAAACGGGTGATCAGAACCATAGCTAAAACCACTTTCGATGCACATACTGATCCAATCTTTCAAAATCTTGGTATCTTAAAATTTCATGATATATACTTAATACAACTAGGCTTATTCATGAACTCCTATCAAAACCATACTCTACCTTTAAAATTTCATTGTAAATTTACTTTACAAAGTCAAATTCATTCGTATAATACAAGAAACTCGTGTAAATTTCGTCTGCCTTTCTGTCGTACTCGAACCAAACACTTTTCCGTTTTTTATCAAGGACCTAAATTTTACAACACCTTAAACACCAACATCATCAACGCTTCCTCACCTTTTTCCTTTAAAGGAGCACTTAAGGCATTTATTTCTAATAATTATTAGTATACTTCAACAGAAATCTTGCGAAAAAGCCTTTTAATATTCAACATTATTTATAAACTTCCGTAATATTGATTCGTTTAATTTTCCACCTGATATTATTTTGTATCCGTCGCCGTAATTTTTATGCCATCTTCGAAAAATTGTAATTGAGGAGGCCTAATTAACATAAGCTCTATAGTTTCCTTTAGGCCTCCTCGCCATTTCTTCCTACATTTTTTTTGGCATTTCTTTGTAATTATTGTAATCGTGTGGCAAATAAATAAATACAAATACAAATACAAAAACGTGAACATAGGAAGACGAATTTCTCTTTCTCTCTTTAAATTTGAACATTTTTCTTAACAATTCAACTCCATGAAAGTTTGCCTACATTGGACAAAGTGAGCGAGTAGGGATAATCGCGCTGAAGTTTCAAAGAAAGCGAAGTCACTTTTTAAGTGACGTTTTTGCCGCCTTCGCTGTTGTGGTATCTTATATCTTAAACTCCCTAATCAGAGCGATTGCTGTTAGTCCTGACCAGCAAAGGGGTCAACTTTTTTTCTCATTCAAACGCTCAGTTGCGTTGACTGCAATATACGTTTCTGGGAAACTGCCCGTCTATCCCTCCCATAAGCCAACATTTTGCCCTAAGTGAGAAGTAAGTGTTCATGTTGACTTAGGGGAGGGGTAGGTAGGAAGTTTCCCAGAATAACGAACCAGTGATTCCGGCAACGAGAACGTCAAAAAAGCAGTAGGTTAAGGTCAGCAAAACAATGATTTTGCACGTGCATCACGCTTTTTTGTACATTTCTCTGCTGTCACTGCACGACTACGACGTGAATTGCCTAACTTCACGTTTTATCGACGTTGACTCGGCTGGAAGGGTGACCCTTCTACCAGGAAGTGGTTTTCACATTTACCGCGTCTAAATTGATGACGTTAATCGTGAGTTATTGAAATAAATGTTGTAATGTAAAATTACTGTGAATTCAATCTGTGAATTTCGGCTGATCAAAACCTCCATTGCTCAGTTTATTCAGTTGTTATGATTTTTAACTTTGTTTTTATAGTATTAATTAAATAGTAAAACAATACGCCAACAATAATCAAGCTATGATTGGGGTAGTTTCATGCGCCAATGGATACAATATTTTTTTAGACGCTGTATTCCATTTCGAACAAGCAGCAATATCGGTTGATGAAGGTCAAGGATCTGTTGTCGTTAATGTCGTTAACACTGGTAATACGAGCTTCTCTGCTTCTCTCAGGTGAGAATATTACTTACCATTTGAGATTTTCTTGAACCTTGAAGTAGAAAAAAGCCTACCAAAGTTGATGTTTACTATCATCATCATCATCATCATCATCATCATCATCATCATCATCATCATCATCATCAACATCAACATCTTCATTATTATCTCTTCATTATCATTATCATAATCATTATCATCATTATCATCGTCATCTTCATCATCTTCATCATCGTATATCATCATCATCATCACCATCATCATCATCATCGTCAGTCCCTCAGTACTCAGTACACCGGTTATAAGCACACAACTAACAACAACTTCAGCTCCTTAAATACTATTTCGCAGCGTATAGTCAATTGCCATAACGCATGATACGACTCTACAATCATCAATAACCATAACAACAACAATGTCATCATCATCACTATCGTCATCATACCAAATTAACCAATCACTTTCATTCTCGAAATCAACAACAACACAAAAATAGCAACAGCATTATCAATGAAATCGTCAATTTCATCATCGGCTGCATCAACATTCCCACCACCATTATCGGCATCGCCTTCAGTACTATTACCTTTTTCAGCATGAAATAACCGCCGTTATCAGAAACGTCAAGCAATAATCTAGTCGCCAAGCTTTGAAAATATTAAGACGCAATCCATCAGGAAATTGAGTAATTTTTATTTTCAGTGGACAAAGACCTTGTACCAGAATAATTTAAGAATTCAATTCAAGAATTGTGAAAAGACAAGTTAATTTCTGAAAATTTCGTGTGTAATATGTAGTTTTGTAAGACTTCACATTTATTTTCTCTGGCTCTCAAGAAAAAATTTTTTTTAGCTCTTAAAAAATGTAAAAAGGGAATGCGATATTGTTTAAATTATTCTGGTACAAGGTTTTTGTCCACTGAAAATTGAAATTACTCAATGTCCTAATGGATTCCGTCTTAAGAACTAGTCATGGGCTCCTGGAATTATTCTTATCAAATTTATTGCCATCACTATCGTAAGACACATAATTAATACTATGACTGGTCCCGAGGGAAACAGTTGACTTTGTTTCCCGAGAATCTCAATGTGTCGAAACATTGTGGTTTGTTATATAGCTGAAACTTTTGAAGCTGGAAATTCATTGAACCTCGCTGAGAGGCGGTCGTTGGTCAACATTCGCGGGTAAAAGTGCACTGTAACCCTCTGACGTCATAAATTTTGCACTGTTACCCGCTCAGCGATTTTGGCGGGAAACAGTTTCATTTTTAGATGTCATGGACCTCAAAGTAACCAATGAGAGCGCGCGCTGTTGGGAAAAAAATTCCACCTACATAACACAGGACTAATGTTTAACCTAGTGGTTGAAATATAGCTTTTAATTTGGAATACGAAGACAGGTTACGAAGGTTGGAGCGATCTTTTAATTGCACAAAATGCACAATTGTTCACCATTGCTCAGATTTATACCAATACCCATCTAGACGGATAATCCGACAAATTAGAAGGATTTTTGGTTTCCAGGAATCGAAGGGAAAAATAATTACCATGGGTGCTTACCATTTGACAGAAAATGTCGGGAATTCCGGATGGAAAGTAAATGGTAAGGTCACCTTTCGGAAATTCCAACCAAAAATTGAGGAGTACGTTTTGAGGTAGTCCTTTCATTCCGGTTGGTACAAACCAAATGGAATGTCACTTACTATTTACCATTTCTCGATTCCTTCTCGGTTCTAGACTCGCGCTACACAAATTCTCCCGTTCTTTGGATTCAAACCGTAACGAATGTGGCAATTCTGCCGTACACTGGTAAATCGCTTACCATTATGCTTTCGACAACCCAACCGGATTTTTCTGTCAAATGGTAAGCACCAAATGTTTCCGTTATCGTTTCCGGGCATATGAACTTTGAAGCTGAAAGGTTTGAATGGGCGTGTGTGTGTGTGGTTGGTGGCAAAAATGTGAGAATTAGATCCTGATTTCGTATTCATATTTTACAAACAAGGATTTTTTTTTATTCCAGGATAGATTTGTTGGATGGGTCAGCCGATGTCTTGGAAGACTATGTACCGGTGTCAGGCGAGATTTTGAATTTTCAACCCGGTGAAACAGTAAAAGGTTTAACTATCAACATAACCGACGATAATTTGATCGAAGGAGCTGAGCAATTTAATATCACTTTATCCATCGGTGTACCCAGCCCTGGTTTGACCATCGGACGACCATCAGTTATGCAAATAACGATTACGGATAATGATGCACCTGCACCTGGTAAGTACCCCAGCGAAAAAAATATACCGTGTCTTTCATAAGCTCCTTCAGTTATAGGTCCATCTACCTGTAAACAAAATAATTATAAAAATAATAAAAATAATTTTCCTGGGTGTGAGAGAGTCCGTGATGCAAGACAAAAAGCTAGCACTTACAGTTGCAGCAAAGACGTACTTGCAAAGACTCTCAATAATCTGGACAAGCCTTATGTCCGATGTCAACCGCTTCAAGGCAACAAACCAGTTCGCCTTGCCTGTCTTGACGTACCCCATGTGGACCCAACACTGGCCATTGGGAGAACCACAAAGCATTGATAGAGAGACAAGGAAATTGACCAGTGAGAATGATGGGAACCCTCTTCGCTCCTTGTAGTGCTATTTCTTCCAAGAGATAAAGGGGGTCGTGGACAAAGGTCTGTAGAACAAGAGTACAAATTTCAGGAAGATCGAGGCGGCTATGAAGCTGTATGAGAATCCTGACCCAATGATGAGAAGTGTGTTGATATCTGAAGAGATCAGAAAGCAGGCGAGGAGGGATTCTGCTCACTTGTGAAAGACGTACACAAGTTTGCGGAGGAACTGGAAACTAGTCTCAATTTGGCTACTCCCGATCCATTATGTAGCTTGCAGCAAGCCCCAAGGAGAGGATCAGTAGACATCAGGTGAGACAACATTTTAAGAAAGCTGTAGAAGAGAAGCTTGAGGAGAAGCTGGAAGACCAGAGATGGCAAGGACGTCTGCTGTGGACCAGCAGGGAAGACTACTAGCTGAGCGAACACAGCAGTTTCGCCTGGTTGAGTGAGGGGGCGGTCACGCCTACTCATACTATCGCACGGGTTATGGAACTTTATGAGCAGCTCTTATCAACCCAAGTTTACACGGCTTATAAGACCGGTATACTTCAGACCAAATTAGCACCATGTGTAGAATGTGCGGTAAGGTACCAGAAAGCCTTGCTAACGTTTTGGCGAGATGTTCATCGCTGACGCAGACTAAGTACATGGAAAGGCATAATGCTGCACTAAAGGTGCTGTTCTTTGCAATGCTGAGGGACCTCAAGCTTGCTTGTTCCTCCATGGTGCTCACGGGTGGAGCCCAGCGTTGTACGAGTCAAAAGACGCTCAAGCATACTGGGATGTTCCAGTTTACGCAGAGCACACTTTCGTTCCAACCAACAGGGTGTACACGTGATTTGGAGACCAGAAGTCGATGAGGGTGTTGGCTGAGCTGTCTGTGGGTGGGCAATTGCGTGAAGAAATATTCTGCAAAGACAGCTAGAGAAGTACCAACCACTGCGGTGGGAGCTTACCAAACTGTACCCAGACTATAATATCGTACAGCTGAACGTCATCATGGACGTTTTAGGGGAGTGGTCCAAGAAACTAAATGTCGCATCTTGTACTTCGTTAGACCCTCTAAGCTACTTAACCGTTTCCCCGAAATCACTGGCTGGATGTGACTGAGATACGATTTGTTGAACGAGGGGTGTTGGTAATAATAGTGCTACTACTACTACTACTACTACTACTACTACTACTACTACTACTACTACTACTACTACTACTACTACTACTACTACTACTACTACTACTACTACTACTACTACTACTACTACTACTACTACTACTACTACTACTACTACTACTACTACTACTACTACTACTACTACTACTACTACTACTACTACTACTACTACTACTACTACTACTACTACTACAATAATAATAATAATAGTGATAATCACAATTACAATAATAATAATAATTATTATAAGCCCCCTCGGATGCAGCTTCACCTGGTTAGTACCTTCAGCGAAAGAAATATACCGCAAAGTGTCTCTCATAAGCCCCTTCAGTTATAGGCCCATCTACTTTAAAGGAAAATAATATTAATAATAACCATAAAAATAATAATGATGATAATCATAATCATAATGATACTAATAACAATTAGAGTAGTAGTAGTAGTAGTAGTGATGGTGGTGGTATTATTTCTCCGCAGAATAATGTGAGAATAAGTATTTTAAGCTTCCCTTTTTCTTTGTGATGTCAGCAGGGCAACACTTTCAACACCAAATTTAACGTCAATGTTCTTTACAACAGAGTCTAATTTTGAAAGGCTCATACGAATGTGAAATTGACTGGAATTTATTTACTTGCTGTCTGTTTTGCGGATTTATTACATCCACTTTGAAATCACTGGCTATCCGTGCAATCTGATTGGCTCTCAGCAGTGTGATTTATTCCTAAATCGCACCATTTTTTGCTCTAAATCGCATCTTTTCCAAATCGCGTCATTCATGTTCTAAATCGCATCATTTCTGTTTTAAATCGCACCATTTTTGTTCGATATCGCATCATTTCTGTTGCGAATACAAAATGAGATGTAAAAGCCTTTTTGTTTCGGCTTTTTAAAAACCGGCTACTCGATCAATAAAATATTAGTACTGACTAAATTCTGCGATTTCAAAATGGATGTAATAAAGTGGTAATTGAACTTCGTGTCGTGCAATTTTGGTATGAAATCATACTTGTGATTTCAAATCGAACTCGCGCTGCGCGCTCGTTCGATTTTGAAATCACACGTATGATTTCAGACCAAATTGCACTCCACTCAGTTCAATTACCATTATGAATTTTTTTCTAGATATAATCCTTCTTGCTCAGCAGTTTAGAATTGGTAGGGGTATTTAAAATTAATTGACATTAGGACTTGAGATGTCAGATTGTGCACTTCGACATCATTTGTAATGACTCCTTCGTAACATAGGAGGTTTTAAGAAATTGAGTACTTAACTGGAAACAAATGTAAAGATATACCTTGTAGGTGTAAAGCTTTCTAAAATCCTCATAGTTAACTCTGTCTGTTGAGTTGCTTCAGCTTTCTCGTCGGTGTCAACTTCGATTTCTAATTCAGCGTCTGCTTCAATGTCATTGTCACAATCTACGTCAGCCTCGGCGTTTATATCAGTGTCTGCCTCAACAGCAATGTCACATTTCATTTCAACATCAATGTCGCAGTCAATGTCGCCATCTACGTCAGTCTCAGCATCGGTTTCAGCGTCCTATCTAGCGTCGACTTTTTCTTCTACATCAGCTGTGTCATCTTCAGTAGGCCCAGGCGATGCGACTGTTGCTGGTGGGCAAACGAGTGATGATAATTCGGGTAGGTGGTTTGTTATTTGTGTCCTTCACAGACGCTTTGTACGCACATTCGCTATGCAAACCCCAAAATGATCTTGCTACTACGGATGATACTGTTAGTGTTTGATCTTTGTTTATAATGATTTTGACATATCGAGGCCTTTTCATTGCAACAGGGGGATCGTATGGCTGGAGTCAAGACAAGAACATCTGTAAAACTGAGATGAGAGATTGGCGTAGAGGGTTCTTTAGTCTTTTAATAGGGCCTGGTGGGATTGATAACAACCTAAGCTACATGGAGTGACTTTTCTATTTTCTATTTCGAATTTTAGAAAAGGACAGAGACACAATGATGTCCCTTTTGACGATAGCTATTGCTCTGATGTGCCTTGCAATTGTTGTTTTGCTGATAGTTGTTTACTTTGTGGTGAAAAGGTAAGAAAATAAAGATTAGTCAGCCAAAATTTCGAATATTCTAGCTAAATGAATCAGCCTTATGTTTACTTAGCACCACTACTAGTTAAGACCTGTTTCATACATGTTATGAAGCAAGTAACGGCTTTCGACTTTCGGCTGTATTTGTGCAATCTGGATCGGTGACTAAACTATTTTTGACCAATGACTATCATCATCATCATCATCATCATTACTATCATCATCATCACCACCATCAACAGTATTAATATCACATCACTTGAATGAGAGCTAAAGCATATGTATGTGTGAATTTTCTTTCAGAATGCAATGACAGTTGAAATCAGTCACATCCACCATTACTACAACAGAGGTGTCGACTATAGTAGCGGCAGTCTTTTTGCCGAGCGATCAGTGTAGAGATTAGTGTAATTAGAACAAGTGACTTTTAGCTTCTTTTTTCTTGTTATTTTCTTTAACCGAGTTTTTTGTTTTTGTTTATTCGATTGTGATTTTTTAACGAAAACGATGTAGTTAGAGAAACTTGTGGTGTAAATATGTAATTCTTTGCTACATCTCAACGTCTTGAGGGAAGAAAATTTCGCATATTAAGTATCATTCGACTATAAGACGACAGAGAGTTCAGTTCAGTTTTGAGGGTAAAAACGGTGAGGAAGCGCGTACTGGAAAAATGTATAGAAAACAGTACGGTAATAAAAAAAAGGCCTTGAAACGATGAATATATGAATTTCATATACAGTCGAAGCTCTCCTTACGACCACGTTACGACCACCTTTGTAAAACCCCGTTTGAAATGTGACTTAAAGTTTGTAATGGAAAGCTCTCGTGAGCCACCGCTCCCGTAAGCGACCGCGACCACTTTTGAGATAACCTAAGTTTCCTTGGTTGTTAAGCTCTCGTAAGCGACCACGCGGAGTCTTATTCATTATATATTAAATCAACACTTATCAGTGAAATTGCACACTGCGCTAATTGTTCGTTGATAATGAACTTGGGGCTACTTTGATCTAACAAATTGGACGTAAAGTTTAGCCATGATATATCAGATATAAAGACACTCATAAAACATAAACTTCTTTTGTTTTTTGTTATGTATTATCAGGAGCCGAAGTAATCGGCTCCTGGTATTATTAATGAGTCTCTGAAGCTCATAAGCGACCACCCTCTATTGTGTTACCATGCGGTCATTCTCTTAAGCGACCAGCTGTGGTTATTTTTTTCGAATTTCCGGAGCAATGGCTTACGTGAGCTTGGACGTATAAAAAAAATTCTTGTGGGTTAGTGAGTGTAGAAGTTATTCAATTTTTTTAAAACAAAATGTGTTGTCTTTGATAATTACTCATAGTGTGGTCTGTCATGAGGACATACAAGAAGAATAGTTTTGATTACTGAGGCTTGGACGGGTCATGCCAGTTGCAAAAGGTTGACCTCTCGCAACTCTCGTTGCTTGTTTTCGTAAACTCGTCCCTTGTAAAGATCAACTCGTGATTTAGTCTAGATGATGGTCCAAAAAATGTCAAATTAAATGACATTTAGTCAGGGCTAGCTGTTACTGGAAACATAAACAACCAGCCAGGGTTACTCTCACGACTGGCTGTTTGTGTATATCCCGGGGGGGGGTACTCCCTTATAAGGGCTTAATGGGGACGTGCGGCCAGCCATGGTATGTTTTTTTCGGGATTTTTGTCTTAAACAGGGTATCGATTTTATCATTGTTTGTCCTAATCAGGGTATCGATTTTATCAATTTTTGTCTTAAACAGGGTGTCTTCTAAAATAGTTCTGTGCTTGCCAATGGATTATTAAATTCTGCAAGCAGAATACTGCAATGCTGATCGTACTACGTGAAAATTAACTCTGCCAGACATGTCTTGCAGAGTTAATTAGTACGACCAGCATTGCAGTATTCTAATTGCACAATTTAATATGTCTTCATTATTATTTTAGCTGATCAGGTCTTTATAGATCCTGCGTTCTTCGGAACATTCGTTTGCGGTCTTTTGCAGTCCTTTATGGTTAATGTTTGTACTTTGAGTTTTATTATTGTCCAGTACACAGGGTATGGTTTCGGGTTAAATGTCTTAAACAGGGTATCAGAAATCGGAATTCTGTCTTAAACAGGGTAGGAAAACAAGCGATTTTTGTCTTAAACAGGGTCAGGGTATGAGGGGCGGGGCAGCTCCTCCCCACCCAAAGGATATATCGAGTACCCCTCCCGGGGTGTATATTCAGCAGTCAGAAATATATTGAAGCGTATGGGTTTGGGGTTGATTCCATGTACATTACACTAAAAAAAATGTTTGGCGTCGTTCTCAATAATTTGGTCACAACCCGTGTGTTTAACGTACATCTGGTTTTGGAATACATGTAGAATGTTAGGTCTTTAAATTGTCTAAGAGATTCGCTGATGTACTGTCAGTCTCTCGTATAAACAACCACAGCTGGCCCTTTGTCACCGAACCGACGGCTACAATATTAATGCCATTTTTGGCATCAAAAGCTGTCATGGGGAGTAGACCCCTAGAGGAGAAGAATGTTCTAATTGTCGGCAAATTGCTGGAACAGACTTTGATCCCGCGTTGATTTGAGATTAACTTGACCGTTGGGACGTGACTAGTGCGCGGTTGCCCTGGCTGAGGCTAAGGGCTGAGCCTAGTGCTCTCACCCTGCTCAAAGTCTTGGATACTCGTGTTTGGCAATTAAGGGCCGTAGAAAGGGGGTGTGTATATTATATTTGATCTCCTTCATACCTGTCCAATACTCTGACAAATTTATGCATGGCTTTATTAACTTTCTCATTGTTTTGCTTCGTTCTTTAGTCATGCTTTTTTACAGTACTGTAAAGTGAAGACAATACAATACAATGTCATGCATAAATTTGTCGGATTATTGGACAACCCTCAACTTCAACTATCTGTCGGTTCAGTCGGCACCCAAGAGATTATCTAATTTTAAATTTTACTGAGATTTCTGAATTTTCATGTGCATTATGACATCTCAAATTTTAAATGTTTAGCATTTCATGTACCTTTAGATTTCATGTAGAATTTTTCATCTTATTATATTTACATCGCAGACATGACGCATATAAACGCTTTAATAAGTTTAAAAGACACCGTTATGACGACATCATAATGGGATTTTATGGCAAGGCATTTGATAATGGTTTGCAGGCCAAGGCGGCAGGTTCCAAGCCTATCTTATTTCCAGTCAATCAGAATTTAGGGCGTTCCGGACTATATCATTCTTAGGGGCGCTTTTCCATGTGCTCGCCCCCTTTCGATCGCTCACCATCACGTTGTTCACATCGCTGGTTTGAACCAATTTTCAGCATTTTTTGGTTTTTTCCCCTACCTTTGCTGAAGAGATATTTAGTTTATTATATATTGACAGATCTTGAAAATAAAGTTCGTCACGTTTGGTGGCCAAATTTTGTCCAACCAAATCCGACTCTGTGTTTATCTCCTTAGCCAACAAGTGCGCCGCCACGCAGAGCCCTTGGTCACGCAATGCAAGGTTTTCAGCGTCCTTCTTACCGAAAAAATGGCTTGATATAAAAAGCACATTTTGCTTATTATGGAATACTCACTGGCTATTGCAAAGTCTAAGAAAGGTATGAATAATTTATTAGCCGAGTGGCATTCTGTGGCAAGGTCTGATAGTATTCTTGGGTTACTTGTGTTCTGAACATCCTGGATAACACCAAAATTTGCAATTTACACCCCTAAACAAGAGGCCGAGTTTCCCCGCCCCTTTTCACACAGGAGCCCTCAGGCCCTCACCAGGGTTCTGGACATAAAGGGACAGGTTCACGGTTAAGCGCGTGTTCATTAATTAAATCACTTGTTTCCAATTTATTATTAATTCTATCGGTTAATAATCCCACTCTCACTGATCTCGGAGTGTATTTCAAAGTATAATTGCATTTCAGGGTAACCTGAAGTAGGATGGAGGAGTACTAAAATAAAAGAAAAAATTAGTGGATTATACCAACACTACCAACGTTGAATTTATTACTGACCCGAAGGTTTTATTCCATTGTTGATTAATTTACAGCTATTTGTAAATATTTAAGTTTATCAAGTGCAAGTGACTGCCAGGGGAGTGTGCAGATTGCTTCTTTGACAACATTGTGACATGATCATATCGCTTGCATAGATGATACAGCATGTCCCGGCAGAAAAACAGCATTTTGATAAATGAGCAGCGCTGAACCGTGAACCTGTCCCTTTAATTAATCTAATGAAACCCTAATAAATTCGATCCATTTTCACAACGGAAAGTTTGGTTGATAATAATCTTCAGTCGTCTACTAAGAAAATTCTTAGGAATTTCTAGACTTCAATTTTCTGTGAACTATAATTTGAAGCGCCAAGTACTACGTTTATTCGAGTTAATTGCGAACCCTTCATGAAATTCCGACTCTGGGTAGGTGTATGGGTCGGGGTCCACTGTCCTTTTGTTTCGTTTTTATGTTTTCGACCTACTTGCAAACTTAAAGAAAAGAAACAAAACAAAAGATCAATGGACCCCGACGGAAAGTCGATGTAATACTGACGTTGACCTGCAGGCTGTTCATATTGTACTGCAGTCCGGCCTTGACGGTTTCATCTCACAACTGAACTGCGTTAAGAGTTCTACAGATTAATTTCACCATGCAAGTGGGAAAGTATTCTTCATTGAAGTTACTTCTAATTCAGGTGTTTGCCATGTACCTTTGCAATACACAAGGTAAGCAGTGAAGTAGTTGCTTAACAACTAGTGATCAATAATTCCTCTATGAAAGTATCTGGTTCAAAATTTCTAATTCTTTAGGTTAACCGCGATTCTTTGCATGGTTGAAAATGCTTGTGAGCTTCTGGTGTACTAGTCGATTAATCAAACGAAGTGAGTTGACATATGAGATAAGTTAAGCTGAAAACAGCTTGCGGATTGACAGAATTCTATAGGTGTGACTTGTAAGAGCAGATGTAGAAAGGGTCGCACTGTACTCTGCTCCCAAAAGCGAGCGAGACAACTCGAAACATACTGAACCGATGCTGAATAACACGACTCTTATCTCCCGATGTCAAGGAAAGGGGTTAAGAGAACTAGTGCTTACTCAGATTTCTCGCTAGAAGAGCTGAAGGGGTCTGAAACTTCAAGTGACACTGAAAGCGAGTGAGAGAAGTCGACACATAACCGATGATGAATAACCTGACCCTTTCCTCCCGATGTCAAGTTTAGGGCATTCACGAGTACCGTCAGTGCACTGAAAAGGACGAGGCAGATGGAAGTAAGATATCAGTGCCATATCATTGGTACAGTTATATTTAAAAGTTTTTTTTTTAATAGTGCACAACAACTCACATTCTTCAAATGTTAACAATTTTGAATGCTTCGGTGAGTTAACGAAATTAAATAATTCTTTCGCAATGTTTCCCGGCATGATAATTTTATTTCACAGTTGCGTGCCTAAAAGTTTGCAATATGGCTTTTTTTTTTTAACAATTTTGAAAGAGGCATCTTTCAATAATTGCATTCCACAAGGGAGTTGAGGGCTGGCTCAACGTAAATGGAGCTGCGAAGATCCGCTGGTTGTGACAAAAATTTTAAAAGCGTGCAGCCTTATTTCTTGATCATTGCTGCTTTAAAACCTGCCAATTTATAAAGCAGGACAAGGTACTAATAGCCCTTTCAAACAAAAATCGTAAGCTTGGTAACCTGTTAGGTCCTCAGCAACAACTCAACACTAAGTCAACGTAATCCATACTCCACAATCAATTCACAACTAACAGTTACACATTGGCACACACGGCCTCGAACGCAAGACCGTGACGTCAATGCCCAAATATGGGGTATTACTTACCATGAACATTTTGAGGAATTTTTAGAGGTAAAATTTTCGTGAACTTTAGTAGGCGCCAGTTAGCACCTCGAGAAAAGTAATTCAAACTTAATTGCGAACGCTAATTCCATCAATCCATCTTAAAGCTTCGCACTGGCCATGTCACGGACGAGCGCGCTCTCAACTGTCAGTTCTTACAACAGTCACGAAATGTCGACTAGGGGTTGGGGTCCACTGTGCCTTTGTTTCGTTTTCGTTTTTTTTTTTTTCTTCCTGACTACAAACTCTAGAACAAAAGCAAAAACAAAAACAAAACAAAACATCAAGGGACCATGACCCTCAGGGGGTCTCACTTAGGCCGCTGTTTATGAAATCATTGGACCTCCAGATCTGTTTATTAGTGGGTTAATCTAAGAAAATAAGTGCTTTTCCATTCTACGATTTATACTTTATCGAAATTGTTCACGATAAATGGTGTTCAGATACATAGGTAGCTATATGTTTATTCAAAAAGGGTAATTAAAAACAAAACCAATAAGGAAATAATAATAAAAAAATACATTGTACTGCGAGATTTTAAAAATGAACCTAAAGAACGCTTAAAACATGCAAGATTTCTTGAAAAGAAATACTTGTGGGAGACTGCTACATTAGGGAAATATGCTCACTTTAATAAATCAAGCAGCAAATTATATAACCTACTTAAATATTCACATCGCCACATTACGTAACACTAATCTTAACAACAAATGCAACAATTTACACTTAGCACTCGTCACATGCCCCGACAACCCGTGACTCAATCCGGTAAATCGTTCCATTCTTTCACAATTCTAACAAAAATTAAATATTTGTGACAGTTAAAACTAGATGCTTTGAAATTTTAGCTTGTAACTATGGTTGCTCCTTGTTCTTTTGGAAGCTGGCTGAAAATAGTCTTTCAATGAGAGATTATTTAAAAGAAAATATACATTTACAACACTCGATCAGAGAAAAATAAAATCCAGTCTTCGTTTCTCCAATGGGGACCGTTTTAAAATGGCACAACATCCCTCGTTTTCCATTTCGCCCCTCTTTTGGCCGAGGGCCAGTCTCGACGCTCTCCTCTGGACTTCAATTTTCTAGCGAAACTATGTCCTTGACTAGGAAACAGCACCACACTGGAACAGCATACTCCAGGATCGGTCTTACTGGAGATATGTATGGTAATGAGTCTAAAGAGAATTCTGTTACACTCTGGTTTTAGACCCAAGCAAGCGCTTAGTGACCCCAAGGACTCTGCTAGCTTTGTTGACGACTTCGTAAATATGATCGCTCCATGAGAGATCGTACGATACTGTGATACCGAAATCTTGATATTTTTCACGCTCTTTAGACTTTCACCATTTGGATCAAGAGTGCATAACTCCCTTTCGACTTATCTTGTTTGTGATTCATTCTAATTGTTTCAAATTTATCGGGTTAAACGTCAACTGCCAGGTTTTGCACCATTCTGTAGCTTTTTGAAAGTCGAAACAAGTCAGACTGTAGCACATGTATCATCAAATGCTCTCTAACTCTCTATAGAGTTTGGTGTCGTCTGCGTACAATTTCACAGTGGAAGAAACTGCAGTGGATATATCGTTGACCTACATTATGAACAAGATGGGTCCCGGCTAAAATTGTTTCTTGGGGTACGCCTGATTTTACCTGAGTCCATCACGAATAACTGCCGCGCGAAACAACACGTTGTGACCGACCAATTAAAAAGCTCTGAAACCATTTGAGAAGAGAGCCATCAACACCGTATCTTTCTAGCTTAAGAAGCAGACGTCTGTGTGGACCTGCCACTGTCAAACTGGCTTTGGAGAAGTCTAAGATTAGAGAATTACGTCCGTTGGATTTCTCAGTGTTGCGAGATTTTACCCAGTCGTTAAAACAAGATAAAAGATATGCAACCGTATAACGACCTTTCATGTTCGGAAATTGATTTCGGATTTTCAGTACAATGGCTTCGCCTTAAAAATCCATAATTCTGCGTTTAACATATTCCTTCTGCTAGTTTGCACACGATTGAAGTTAGTGAAATCTGACGGTAATTGGTTCTGTAGTTTTCAGTGCCCTTTTTGAACAAAGGTGTTATTTCAGCGCGTTTCCACTTGCTGGCCATTGACCAAGCGCGAAGGACTTACTGATTATTAAATGCACATATAGATGGAGAGAGAACCGAATCGGACGCACGTTCCCTCAAGATACGCGGTGGAAAATTGCTCCCTGTGTAACTCTTAGAATTTCTTGCACAATTTTTATTACTAACTTAATTATCTCTATATCTAGCCGATTTTTTGAAACCAACCTAACGAAATTTGCAGTCATTTGAGTGAAAAAGCGTCAAAAGGCAGGTTTCTTACGCCCGAGAAGCTCCAAAGTCATAGAAACGAAGGAAAAGGAAAGCAGAAAAAGAAAGAGCGAGGAGAAGAAAAAAAAAGCCATGTGTGCACTCTTAGTCAGTTTGATAATAGCTACTTTGTAGATAGTTTTTGGCCGAAAAAACTGTTCGACGCAAAAGGTCCATTTGGCGATAATTAACGTTATGAAAAATCCAGCTAGATATATGTTACCTGGTATTTTAGTTAATTTTTTTGATAGGTGTCCTTACTTAATGGGCAACCGCTTTATGCATTGGCAGGGGAATATGGCTATCAATATATTATTCTTATCATTATTATTATTATTATTAGGTTTCCTATTCCAGATTGAAGTACCACAGCCAACAATAATAGCGAGTGAGGATCAAGGAACTGCTGAGGTTATTGTTGTTGTACATAATTTTGGTTATATGGGCCCGTTTCCCGTTTATCTGGGGTGAGAAAATTACTTACCATTTCAGATTTCAGTTAAAACTTTAGCTAGAAAAAGTCTACCGAATGCGGCGCCATCGTGTGTGATCATCACAATCATCAACATCATCCTTATCGTCGCTATCATCATCGTCATCATCAACATCATCATCATCATCATCATCGTCATCATCACTATCACCGTCATCATCAATTTGATAAAACTTTTACAAGTGTAATTTAAAAGTGTAGCTATTGTTTTCGGACTATAAAACAACCGCCAAGCTAGATAATTACACTTAACTTGTGAAAGTTTTATTAAATTGACCCCAGACTCCAAAACAATAGCTTCACTTGTAGATCACACTTGTAAGTTTTGAAACAAGTTAACGCCAGTATGCATATACACAAACTCCTTTGAGCATAATACATATAAGACAACAAGCCCTCTTAGTAAAAAACGTTCTAAGTTCTATCTGTTACTTAGGGTGAATTCGATTGATGGTATTCCGGAATAACAAGCAAAGCGTTGTTACAAATCTGCTCTACGGTGATTTTGGGGCCCCTTGACCGCTCCATGCATCTTAATATGTTATTTCAAGTAGATTTCTGGCTATTTATTGCAGTCTAAGATCCAAAACGGTTGAATGATTTCTTATTTCGGAATACAGTCAATCCACAGGGCCCGCCGATCAGTTTTCAAAGTGCGGGGGCCGATCCACCTCTTTTGAAGTCTATTTGTGGGGAGGGGGGTTGTGGGGTTGTGGACTTTAAAAATGGTTGACCTGGTGTCGACTCAATATTCTTTTAAAATACAGTTACAACTCATCAATTATTTCTTTAAAATAGTTTAACAAACGAGAAAGCAGTTAGTAACAAAAATAATGTAACCATGCACAGCAGCATCATGATTTTCGCGTACTTCATTTACTTCAAAAGTTTATCCGCCCTCTCCTGATTGCTTTGTTTAGAAACTTTCTTTAGTCATTGTTTAACCCAGCCTTGGTTTTAACCTACAAGCTGCCAAAAAGGGCCTTTTCCTGCTGCGATTGTTGCAGGGTTTACCATCAGAAAGCTTTTTTTTTTATAATTCACATAAGCTGAGGAATAGTCGAAACTTTAAGAAAACAGAAATGGTACCAGACAAATTTAAATAACACTATCGGGCGTCAGTGAACAGAGAAAACTTTGCGGGGAATCAGAGAAAATTGAAACAAGCAAAATTTAGTGCGTGCAGTAAGGCAGTCCTTAATATAAGTCTATTGAAGTTCCGAATAACGAGCTTCCAGAACTCATTTTTTTGCAGCTCTAAATTCGGGTTCAATAAGGAGGGTGTCAAATATATTCTTAGGATTAGATCCTCGTTTCTTATTTGTAATCTATAAACAGGGATTCTTTGTTTCAGTGTCTTCTCGACGAACTTTACAACAACCGTGGCTTATTCAGACAACATACAGTTTTTCGTTGCAAACCTAACTGTTTCACCCTCCTTGCCGATGAATTATTATGTCGTCAATGTCACTATTTTGGATGATGATGTGCACGAAGAAGACGAATCAGTGGAACTCGAATTCATACTTTATGATGAATATGAACCCTCCTCCGGTTACCGCCTTATTGCAAATGTGGTCTCTAGAGTACTTATAGTTGAAGATGATGATGCACCACGTAAGTACTCCAACGAAGAAATATATTCTCGATATTTTACCACTACATGAGAAATTTCTGCAATTTGATTGGCTTAGAGCAGTGGTATTTCAGCTTAATTTGAAATACCTACATGTGAAAATTACAAACCTTTTGGGGGTAGTAGTATAAACAAATAATAGCATGATTTGTACGTGATATTTGGCATAAATACCACTCGTGATATTTCAAAATTGTCACAAATTTCACTTGTCTAAGGGCTCGTGAAATTACCTATAACAATTTCGAAATATCGCTCGTGGTATTTATTCCAAATATCACTCCAAATCATGCTATTACCTATACTAATTCCTAAAACCCTGGCCCCAGTAGTTCAAAGAGCGGTTAACTTTATCCAGCGGATAAAACTGCTATCCACTGGATAGTTATCCAGTGGCTAAAATGTTGCACAAAGCGCGGATAGCCTTGCGTATAACTATAAATCGCTATCCAGACAGTTGCCATGGTAATAAATCCAGACTTGCGTTGCGCGTGCCGGACAGACAACAACATTGCTGAAAATGTTGAACCTTTGCAGGCCAAGCGTCCTAGAAAGTCTAACTTTACGCCAGCGGAGCGTGCCGTAATTTTTGAAGAGGCGGAAGAGAATCTTAGTATACTCAAGAGCAAGTTTTCTTCAACGTTATCGAGCTACCGGCGAAAAGTTCTCCTTTTTCAGGGAAGTTGGTATAGATGGTTTAGCGACAAGTTGCTCTGTAAAAGATGCAGCTGTCGACCGGTCATATTTATGTCGTTTGTCGGGTGGGTAAAAATTTATACTACCTACCTTACCGTGGTTAAATTCATCCGCTGGATAGCGAGTGGATAACGCTATCCATCTTTCGAACAACCGAGATGGCGCGAGTGGATAAATTCTATCCACTGGATAGGACTTAGGGACTTGTCAGAAATTAGCAGGGGGGGAGGGGGGGTGGGAATTTTAAATTTGGGTTCGGAAATGAGGTGACCCATCCCTGCAATGGGAGTGAAATTTGCTAACCCTCCCCTTGGCCTTGGCCTAAAATATCATGACCCTCCCCCTCATGTATAAATGATAAAATCTAGTTCTTGCAATACACTAGGGTGAGTCAGTATTATGAAAGCTCAAAATATATTTCTAATCTGTTTTTTGTAATGCCAATACATACATTTTAGATGACAGCATTAAGAGTCCGACTCTGATTCTGACAGCTGATCACTCGACTCTCCTATTTCTCCCAGTTTTTTTTTTTAAAAATGAAGAACTTCTTTTTTCTTCTGTGGGTGAACCTCTACATGATCACGGACAAATATTCACATGACCCTCCCCCTTTTAACAGCCCATTTTTCATGACCCCTCCCTTTTCTGCAGTCTCAAAAAGTTGTGACCCTCCCTCTGTTTCCATCCCCCCCCCTTCCCCCCTGCTAATTTCTGACAAGTCCCTTATCCGCTCTTTGAATAACCAGGGCCTAAACAAAAACTCAGGATATCTAACCAATGAGAATTGGCAAGAGGAATATTTTTTTGATATCGGCTCTTTACAGTCAAACCAAGTCAAGCGTACCCCCCAAGATTCTATCAGTGAATTGATTATTTGAAAAATGAATCCGTTAGTCGTTCCCGTAACTGGTGTCAAATTCAAAGCGGCATTTCTGCATGCGTAATGAGCACTGAATATTTTACGAGAACTTCTCTGTATTTGGTCAGATTGGAAATCTTCGAATGCATTAAGCTTCTTAGAAGACATTTACATCAATTACAGCAAAATGGAGCTGGTAGAAACTGCCTCGCGTGTGAATTCACAGCTCATTACACATACAAGAATGCAGAGATCAATCTGAAATCTACAACAAGCAACGGATTCAACTTTTGAATAATAAATTCATTAATGGTTCTTGTGGGGTACGCTTGACCTGGTTTGACTGTAATATATTTATTATTTAGCCAAGCTTAGCCAAAGCTAAAAGCGAATCTCCCATTAATACATTAATAAGTTACTTTAAAGAATCATCCGCAACAGCACAATCAGACCGCAGGCACATTAGAGCCCCGCGCGCGTGCTGCAGAAAATTGCACCCCTAGAAAAGCTGTTTCTGATGGCCTAATTAAGCAATAGACCACACTTTCTATGGATTTACCGGCGTGATAACCCACGCGGGATATTGGGAGAACACGAGAAAAGCTTGTAAATCACGAGCCCCAGGCGAGTGATTGAGTAATCGAGTGTTCTCCCAACATCCCAAGTGGGTTATCACGCCGGTAAACTCATAGGAAGTGTGGTTTATTGCTTTTATAAAATATCTTTAAGTTTTCTATGAGTTTACCGGCACAATAAGCCATAGGTTTTTAACCAATCAGTCAATCAGAACGTGCGTACTATCTGGGCTATTTTATACTCTTAAATGTTCAATTCTTGCCCAATTCGCACAGGCTGTTTGGGCTGTAATTTATCGCCCTCTTCTTGTAGACTGGTAGGTTAGTATATTACACAGCCTGTACCCATAAACAATACCTAGCAACAATTTTTATGGACTGCTGGCAGTTTGTATTTCAGCAGAATTTCTCACCTGATTACGGATAAAATCAATCTTGCTCGGCAGTTAAAAAATTTGTAAACTTATTTGAGTTTAGGACATGAGGTGTCAGATTGTGCCGTTTTTCATTTGCCGCCAGACATATGGCCATTATCATTTCCTTGCTAATTTGAGACTCTTTGAAAAATTGGCTATTTAACCCGAATTAAATGTAGAGATTTAAGATGTAGATGAAAAGCCATTTTAAATACTAAAGTAAACACTTCTTTTTATGTTTCAGTTACGCTGCCAACAGCACCTTCGGTGTCTAATTCAATATCTTTGCCACAATCTATGTCACCATCTACGTCAGCCTTGGCGTCAACATCAATGCCAGCCTCCACATCAATGTCACATTCCATATCTACATCAATATCGCAGTCAATGTCAACGTCATTGTCGCCACCTACTTCAGCCTCGACGTCAACTTCAGTGTCTGCCGCAACATCAATGTCGCAGTCGATGTCGCCATCTACGTCAGCTTCTGCATCGTTTTCAGCGTCAATGTCGCCATCACCGTCAGTTTCGGTATCAAACTCAGTGTCTGCCTCAACAGCGATGACAGATTCAGTGTCACATGTCACAGAACTATCTTCATCGCAGGTTTTTGCGCCATCATCGGCTCAGCAAACATCATCAGCTGTTCGATCTTCTGTGGGCCTCGGCGATGGGACTGTTACTGGTGGGCAAACGGGTGATGATGATTCGGGTACGTGGTTTGTTATCTTTGTCCTTCACATACGTGTAACAGTAATGAACAGTAATCCAAAACCACAAGTTAAAGAAAAACTTGGTCATGGATTCAATTTCGCTTTTGCCGTTTGCAGTCAACGTGCATGATTCTTAAAGTCTCTATTGTTCGAAGTTAAGAACTATTTTCATGGTTTTGACATTTTGAGGTTAAACCGTTTATGATATAAGTACGCAGACCATATACACAAACTAAGCCGGGAGAATACTGTAAACGTTCAACAACTTCAAAAGCTAAGGGGTTTTGAGGGCTTAGAAAAGGAAGGGGCATAATTATGATACACCGGGGGGGGGGAGGGGGGTATAACCGCACTAAAAAAGTGTTTCTGATCAAAAACAAGCTACATAGCAGTGCTGATCAAAACACCTTTTTGAATTTGCTCGCTTTTTTAAGCTTCAAAACGTCCAGTCTTAAAATGTCAAATTCATTTCACTACAGGCTAGTGGGGCTTATGACGGGGTACATCTAACCATTTTTGTGAAAACCAACCTAACGAAATTTGCAGTCATTTAAGTGAAAAGGTGTCAAAAGGCAGGTTTCTTAAGCCCAAGAAGCTCTGAAAATCAAAGTAACGAAGAAATAGGAAGGGAGAAAAAGTAAAAGCGAGGAGAAGGAAAAGAGGGGAAGAGACTGAAACAGCAATAATTGCTTTCTTAGTTTTTATAATAGCTACTGTTGGACGCAAAAGGTCCATTTGGTGATAACGTTTTCAAAAATCAGGCTAGATATACTCTTTTGTTAACAGGTAGATGGGCCTATAACTTAAAGTTGAGGGGGCGGGGTTTTAATCGGAAGTTTACGGCATTTCAGCCAATGGGAGAAAGAGTTACTCAAAAGAAGGAGTAAAACCAATAGAAAAGAGAAGTGTGACGGCACGTTACCATGGTAGCTAAATTTTTTAATCACATTAAGGGAGTTTAAGCAACGACTAAGGCGACGGCAACGAGAACGACAAAAAAGCAATAGGTTTATATCAACAAGAAAAACAACTTTGCACGTGCATCACGCTTTTTTACACAGTTTTTAGCCATTTTTGCACGACTGCGAAATGAAACTTCTTAATTTCACATGCCCACTTTACGGAGCAGGACTGACACAACACAAAAGTTTCTTTTTCTTTTTCTAAACAACACCACAATCAGACCCCAGGCATATTAGAACCCCGCGCGCGTGCAGCAGAACATTGCATCCCCAGAAAAGCTGTTTCTGAGGGCCTAATTAGGCAATAGACCACACTTTCTATGGGTTTACCGCCGTGATAACCCACGCGGGATGTTGGAAGAACACGAGAAAAGCTGGTATCACGCTTTTTCACACAGTTTTTAGCCATCGTTTCACGACTGCGACATGAAACTTCCTAATTTCACAACCGCTTTACGGGGTAGGAGAACACAACACAAAAGCTTCTTTTTCTTTTTCTAAACTCAGATACGGTCCTTTCGGATTCAACACCAGAGAATTCGTCAACATTTGGCAAATTAAATGAAATTGAATAAGATCGATGAAGTTTGAAAAAGTGCGAATTTACTTTTTAAGTGAATTTCTGGTTTGTTGTCATCCAAACATTTTGCTACAATGGCAACGTGACGTAACGACTTCTCCTCTCTATCAAGGCGTGTTGTAAACGGCTCTCTGGTAGCTTCCAAGGGGGTACTGGTGGAATCGTTAATCGCTGGTGAATGACTTTTCTTTGCCTTTTTTTTTCTTCTTTAAATTTCAGAAAAGGACAAAAACACCATCATTACCCTGCTGGCGGTAGCTGTTGCTGTGATTTGCATTGGAATTGTTGTGTTGCTGATAATTGCCTGCTGTGTACTGAAAAAGTAACATAAAAGCTAGGCAGCTAGTAATTTGAATATTCTACTAAGAACTGTTCATCGATGTAAAGAAGCAAGTAACATGTAAAAGCAGGGGAAACTTTCGGCTTTTAATAGGATGTAAAGCAGAGCAACCGGAGTGCGACTGCGCTCAGTACCTCGAACACAACTTTCGTGGGTTTTCTTAAAACCAAAAGCCTCTTTGAGGATGAAAAATAACGTATATGTATGCATGGATGTCTTTCTGGGTATACTGAACTGGATCAAAAAATCCGTCAAAATTTGAAATCAGTCACATCCACAACTAGAATAAAGGTTTAGACTTGTAGCGGCGATATTCATGCCTAGTGATCAGCCTACGTAGAGATCGAGTACTTAGCGTTTTATTATGACATTAGTGCTTATTTACCTTTTATCAATATATAGGCACGTGTGTTTTACTGGAAATATAGCACTCGTAAAATTCATAAAAAAAAACTACATCTGGGACCCAAGTGCTTTATTTTCCATGATCTCACACGTGAGTTTATCGATGACGTAATTTCGGTAATTCCTTTTATTATCTTATCGATCTCTTTTTGTCTATAAAATAAAAAGAACATTACACGGTGGCTTGAAGATATGAATTTTATTTTCTCGTGGCAAGCGCAAAAACAATATTTTACTCACTCGCTGCCCTCGTTCGTAAAATATTGTTTTGGCACTCGAAAATAACATTCATCTCTTTGTGCAACCGTGAAATATCCTCTATTCATTCTCTTAATTCGAGTTATTTTTTGTTTTGTTTGATTGTTATTATGATTATTATTACTTTTATTTAGAATGAAAGCGATGAAGTTAGATAAACTTTTGGCGTTCATCCAATTATAGAGCTTTCGACGATGCAAAAGATGTAAATAAAATAGTTTACTACATGTCAGCTTCTATAGAGGGTGCTTCTTAGCTGTTAATAAGCTTTTACGAAAAATGCATTCAGATGTTAGTAACATATTAGAACAATTTATTCTGTTTCGAATTTGCCTAGAAACCGATCGGCTTGAAAGTTGTATCCTAGCACTCTCATGTGTTTGTAAGTAGAGAGAGTATTTGTTGTTGACAGAAAGGTTGTTTACAGTAAGTGTGTCAGTTGTGACGATGTTATCAAGCGGTGTTGATAGCGGAGCACTATGGGTAATAAAATTTGGTTATGACGTCAGCGTACGTCCGTACGGACTTTTCGGGTAGGGGTAAGTAGAGAAGAATTCCTCCCCTTTTCCCTAGAGAGTTTTGTCCCCTATTGTTTCAAAAGTCTTTAGAAATGATTGACAAATCAGAATTTGTCAACTGACCAAATGTTTGGCGGATTTTAGTAGACTACGAGTAGTCCCCCATTTTTCCTCAGGGAGAGTAGAGCGAGCGAAACGGAAAAATGGGGGACTACTCGTAGTCTAGATTTTAGGGGCCGACCATTTGACTTCTGAGGGGTTATGGGTGATTTCAGAAAAAAATGTCCTGCACACTGCGCATGCACCAAACTTTAATTTTCGGACAGGATGTCGCGAAATCAAAAGATGCGAGGAGAGTAAGAGAACCTTGAAAAAGCCGTTTGCATTGCGCTTGGCCGAGTTCGATACTATACTAAAACTTCTCAGGATTACAGATCAGTGATTTATTGTTCCCGTTAAGTTTCGGTTTGAGCGAAATCGTTACTTTTATTGCTGTTGGCTGGAGAACCAAAAGATGGGAAGCGCTTTGATGTCGATTGAAGGCTTATTTCTTCCGCCAGCTTCCATACAAGCTCAGATAATCGTGAAAGGAATACGCAGAAATGAAGCAACAACAATAGAGACTGTAAGATAGAAACCATTGAGACATTGATGTGAATGAGGAGGTCTTGTGGAATTAAGCTTCGTGAAAAGAATGCTTTGCAACGACGCGTTAGTAAACTTTTAAATGAACCTCCCTACGGCCGACAAAATCAAACAAACAGGCGCTACATGTTTAGCAATGAAGTCATAATATAATTTTTGACTAACCTTTGCGATGATCATAGCGTTGAGATTGCATTTTTATTTATATCTTTCAAACGTTTGAGACTAGAACGCGAGCAAATCAGGCAAACATTACTGTACTTTGAACAATTGACCTCCCACACGAGTTTAACACTAGAAAAGCGGAATGAGATTTTCGGGTCGCGAGGCGGCCCTGCTAGCCACAAAATCGCGATGAGTCTTCGTGCCGCGAGCCTAATTTTAAATAAGACGAAAGACTTCTTCTTAGTCTAAAAGATTACTTGAGAATGTAAACAACAAATCTCCGTCGGCGGTGCGGCCCGGAAGGAAATCTTGTCGCGTCAATATGACAGTTCTACTGTCTTTTGAAGAAAAAACAGATGACTCTCGCGAGTGCGCATAATCGGGACACTGTCCCTTTAACTAATCAATCTTATCATATATCGCAATAAACAAAAAATTCCTCCTACGACAGAATCCTGACTTTTTCCAACTGCAGAGTCGCGAAGGTCCGTCAAACCTTTATTTTTAAAACGAAAGGTATATCATCATCATCATCATCATCACCATCATCAACAGTATTAATGTTATATCGCTTGAATGAGAGCTAAAGCATATGTATGTGTGAATTTTCTTTCAGGATGCACTGACAATTGAAATCAGTCACATCCACCAAAGGTGTCGTCTTTAGTAGCGGCAGTCTTTTTGCCAAGCGACCACGTAGTATATGAATTTCATATACAGTCGAGGGCAGCTCCCCTTGCGACCACTCTCGTAAGGGACCAGCTCTGGTTACGACCACCTTTGTAAAACCTCGTTTGAACTGTGACTTAAAGATTGTAATGGAAAGCTCTCGTAAGCGACCGCCATCACTTTAAAGATTACTCAGGGGACTTTTCCTTTGTTGTTAAGCCCTCGTAACTTTAGCCGTGTGTATATCAGATCAACACTGGACAAAAGCATGGTTAAAGAACGAAGCAAAACAATGAGAAAGTTAATAAAGCCATGCATAAATTTATCAGAGTATTGGACAACCCTCAATTTCAACTGTCTGTCGGTTCAGTCGGCACCCAAGAAATTATCTAATTTTAAATTTTACGGACATTTCTGAATTTTTATGCGCATTATGAAATCTCAATTTTTAAATTTTTAGCGTTTCATGTACAATTTTTTAGATTTTTTCTTATATTTACATCGTAGTCATGACGCATATAAACGCTTGAATATTGTCTTATGCAAAGTCTTAGAATTGTCAAGGTATAATCAATTTATTAGCCGAGTGGCGTTCTGTGGCAAGGGTTGATAGTATTCTTGGGTTACCTGTGTTCTGAACATCCTGGGTAACACCAAAATTTGTAATTTACACCCCTAAACAGGAGGCCAAGTTTCCCCGCCCCTTTTCATGTAGGAGCCCTCAGCCCCTCACCAGGGTTCTGAACTTAATTAATCTAATGAAACCCTAATAAATTCGATCCATTTTCACAACGGACAGTTTGGTTGATAATAATCTTCAGCAAGAGCTCATTCCCTCTTGTCTTCAGTCGTCTACTAAGAAAATTTTGAGGAATTTTTAGACTTGAACTATAATTAGTAGCGCCAAGTACTACGTTAGTTCGAGTTAATTAATTGCGAACCCTTTTAGCTGTGTCGCAACAGTCATGAAATTCCGACTCTGGGTAGGTGTATGGGTCGGGGTCCACTGTCCTTTTGTTTCTTTTCTATGTTTTCGACCTACTTGTAAACTTAAAAAAGAGAAACAAAACAAAAGAGCAAAGGACCCCGACCCAAAATCGATGTATGACCGGCACTGACCTGGAGGTTGTTCATGTTGTACTGCAATCACCTTGACAGTTTCATCTCACAACTGAACTGAGTTAAGAGTTCTACAGATTAATTTCACCATGCAAGTGGGAAAGTGTTCTTCATTGAAGTTACTTCTAATTCAGGTGTTTGCCATGTACCTTTGCAATACACAAGGTAAGCAGTGAAGTAGTTGCTTAACAATTAGTGATCAATAATTCCTCTATGAAAGTATCTGGTTCAGAATTTCTAATTCTTTAAGTTAACTATTCATTGCATGGCTGAAAATGTACCAGTCGATAATCAAACGAAGTGAATTGACATATGAGATAAGTTAAGTTGCAAACAGCTTGCGGATTGACAGAATTCAGGGAAACGTGTGACTTGTAAGAGGAGATGTAGAAAGGGTCGCACTGTACTGTGCTGACAAAATAGAGCGAGACAACTCGACACATACTGAACCGATACTGAATAACACGACTCTTATCTCCCGATGTCAAGGAAAGGGGGTTAAGAGAACGAGTGCTTACTGTGATTTCTCGCTAGAAGAGCAGAAGGGGTCTGAAACTTCAAGTAACAGTAGCTAGTGAGAGAAGTCGACACATGACCGATGCTGAATAACGTGACCTTTTCCTCCCCATGTCAAGATTAGGGCAGTCACGAGTACGGTGTCAGTGCACTGAAAAGGAAGAGGCAGATGGGAGTAAGATGCTAGTGCCATATCATTGGTACAGTTATATTTAAAAGTTTTTTTTTTAACGGTGCACAACAACATTCTTCAAATGTTAACAATTTGAATGCTTCGGTGAGTAGGAAATTACGTAATTCTTTCGCAATGTTTTACGGCAAGATTTTTTATTTCTAAACACACTTGCGTGTAAGAAGCCAGTCTAGACGTTTGCAATATGGCGGTTTTTTAACAATTTTGAACGAGGCTTCTTTCAATAATATTTTGTGATATTTATTTAATATCTATCAATAGCCACTCGTCTGTTTGTTTTCAAGAATAAGCTTAACCCACTATCACGAACACTGAAGGAGGCTTAGGAACGTTAACCTGACTTGCTTTGGATCCGTAGATTCAAAGTTTAGACTCCTAGGAGTGCTGAGCAATGGTGGCGCTGAGAGAGCGAGAAACGCAAGTGCGCGCGCGAGATACCACCTCCCACAAGGAGAGGGGATACGGGAACGAGAGGTGTGAACAAAAAATAGAGATAACTATGGGTACCTTGCGGCATTGAAGTGCCAGCGAGGCGAATTCGTTCAACAGTAATGTGGAATGTGATTCTTCGCGATTAACTACATAATTTTAGAGGTTTAACATTGATTTCGCTGCAGACTGCAAGGATGGATAATAAATTTGACCAATAGAGAATGATCTAATTCTCTCTTGATTTGACCCAAGATTGAAACAACAACTAAGGCACATTTCTAAGTCTTCTCTTTTATTTAACAAAAAAATGGCTTGAAGCTTTGTTGGCAAATTGGAGCAAGTTTTAATAGCTCTTAGGTTTTATGGTAAATTCCATTGTATGAAAACTATAAACGGTAGAAAGTAGAATAATGTTCGAGTGAGGTTGAATTGCGGTCTTTCACCGATCAAAGGCATCATCAGGAGTAACAAAAATACTCCGCGTGGAGTTATATTTAAATAGTTAAAAATTGATGTAAAGTAAAACGTGTGACAAACCTAAGAATGAGGCCAAGTATTCATGAGGAGGTATAAAAATATAAATATGCATAAAAGAAAAAAGATCTAAACTGAAGAGCGGATGTTAAAGAGTCTCTTGAAATGGCACAAAGATACGTTGCATTCCACACGGGAGTTGAGGGCTGGCTCCATTTAAATGGAGCTGCGAAAACTGGTTCTGCCAAAATTTTCAAAGCGTACAACCTTATTCCTTGATCAGTTGCTGCTTTAAAACCTGCCAATTTATAATGCAGGACAGGGCACTAATAGCCCTTTCAAATTAAACATCGTAAGCTTGCTAACTTGTCAGGTCCTGAGCAACAACTCAACAAATTAAGACAACGTAATCCATACTCCACAACCAATTCACAACCAACAGTTACACACTGGCTCACCTGGCCTCGAAACACGAGGAGTAAACAAATTCAAGACCTTGACGTCACTGCCCAAATATGGGGTATTACTTACCATGAGCATTTTGAGGAATTTTTAGACGTAAATTTTTCGTGAACTTTAGTAGGCGCTAATTAACACTTCGAGAAAAGTGATTCAAAGTTAATTTCGAACGCTAATATCCATCAATCCATCTTAATGCTTCGGACTGGCCATGTCACAGACGAGCGCGCGCGACTGTCAGTTCGCACAACAGTCACGAAATGTCCACTAGGGGTACGGGACCACTGTGCCTTTGTTTCGTTTTCTTTTTTTTTCTTCCTGACTATAAACTCTAGAACAAAAGCAAAAACAAAAACAAAACAAAAGATCAAGGGACCATGACCGTCAGAGGGTCTAACTTAGGCCGCGGTTTAAGAAATCATTGGACCTCCAGATCTGTTTATTAGTGGGTTAATCTAAGAAAATAAGTGCTTCTCCATTCTACGATTTATGCTTTATCGAAATTGTTCACGATAAGTGGTGTTTAGATACATACGTAGCTATACGTTTATTCAAAAAGGGTAATTAAAAACAAAACCAATAAGGAAATAATAATAAAAAAATACATTCTACTACGAGATATTTAAAAATGAACCTAAAGAACGCTTAAAACATGCAAGATTTCTCGCCCTGAAACACTTGTGGGAGACTACTGCATGAGGGAAATATGCTCACGTTAATAAATCAGGCAGCAACTTATATAACCTACTTAAATATTCACATCGCCACATTACGTAACGTTAATCTTAATAACAAATACAACAATTTACACTTGGCACTCGTCATACGCCCCGACAACCCACTACGGTAAATCGTTCCATTCTTTCACAATTCTAACCAAAAATGAATATTTGCAACAGTTTAAACTAGATGCTTTGAAATCTTAGCTTGTAACTATGGTTGCTCCTTGTTCTTTTGGAAGCTAACTGAAAATAGTCTTGAAATTAGAGAAGTTATTTAAAGAAAATATACATTTATAACACTCCATCAGAGAAAAATACAATCTTCGTTTCTCCAATGGGGACCGTTTTAAAATGGCACAACATCCCTCGTATTCCATTTCGCCCCTCTTTTGGCCGAGGGCCAGTCTCGACGCTCTCCTCTGGACTTCAGTTTTCTAGCAAAACTATGTCCTTGAGTAGGAAAGAGCACCACACTGGAACAGCATACTCCAGGATCGGTCTTACTAGATATTTGTATAGCAAAGAGAATTCTGTTTGTTACACTGGTTTTAGACCCAAGCACGCGCTTAGTCACCCCAAGGACTCTGTTAGCTTTGTTGACGACTTCGTGAATATGATCGCTCCATGAGAGATTGCACGATATTGTAATACCGAGATCTTTTGATATTTTTCACGCTCTTTACACTTTCACCATTTAGATAAGGAGTGCATAGCTCCCTTTCGACTTATCTTGTTTGTGACTTATTCTCATTGTTTCAAATTTATCCGGGGGTTAAACTTCAACTGTCATTCAGGTTTTGCACCATTCTGTAGGTTTTTGTAAGTCGAAACAACTCAGATTGTAGCACATGCATCATCAGGAATGCTCTCTAACTCTCTACAGATTTTTTGTCGTCTACGTACAATAGATTACAATTCAGTTCACGGTGGAAGCCGAAACTCCAATGAATATATCGTTGACGTACATTATGAACAAGATGGGCCCTAAAATTATTCCCTGAGGTACGCCTGATTTTACCTGAGTCGGCATGACGAATAATTGCGGCGCAATTAACAACACGTTGCGACTGACTGTAAAAAGCTCCGAAAGCCATTAATTGAGAAGAGGGCCATCAATAGCCTATGAAGCAGATCGACGTATGTCGAAGACTGTCGAACGCTTTGGAGAAAGTCTAAGACAATTACGTTTGTTGGATTTCTCTTGTTGCGAGATTTTGCCAAGTCGTTAAAACAGGATAACAGCTGTGTAACCGTTGAACGACCCTTTTTCATGTACGCAAATTGTTTCGGATTGAAGAGTATAACATTGGCTTCGCCCCAAAAATCCATAATTCTGCTGTTAACTATTTCTTCTGCTAGTTTACTGCCGCTATCAATTGGAAAATGATCGACATTGCAAACAGGGGCACCCAACGACAATTTTCAGGAAATATCTGTTCGGAAGACGATTTGAGATCTAGAATTTTTCGGAACATTTGTTGTAAAATTTGTTGCTTGCCTGCCTCTTCTATGTGACTAGCTCGAGCCTGCTTCTTGATATACTCAAATGGGACAAATTAGTTATAAGGAGAAAGAAGCATAAAGCAATAATGATGTTTAAATCTCTAAATGAACAAGCTCCAGTGTACTTGCAGAACCTATTTCACGAACGAAGGACAGACTATGATTTGCGCAATTCCTTTCATAAATTGACGTTGTCCAGGCCGCGTACTAACTACTTGAAACGAAGTTTCAGTTACAGCGGTGCTTTGTTGTGGAACTCTTTACCCGAAAATGTGAGAGAAATTAAATCAGTCAGGAAATTTAAAGAGAAAATCAATCATCTATTTGAGTCGTCGGACTCTCACTCGGCATGTCTTGTAAAACAGTATGTCGATAGTTTTTAGTCTAATTAATTGTAATTAGATTTTTACTCTATTATTACTGAAGATTTTACCGAGTTTTAAATAAAGAATCTACCTACCTACCTATCTCCTAGGATTTTCGAACATCTAAAAAATGGTATAATTGCCCATTTTCAACGGATTTTTACCGTTAAAAGGTCACCTAGAATTTTCGGGAGCCTTTTTTGTGGCTGAAATTTTCGAAAAGTTAAGTTTTGATCCCTATAATTTTCGCATCACTAGACTTTCAGCTATAGCTAGGAAATCCGAACAGATGAAAAATTTTTAGGGGATAAAAATATGCCTATATCTAGTGTTTAAAAACTAAAATACGTTTAACAATGCTATGTTTTCGTGGTTTTGAACTATATTCTCGTTGGGTGGCCCTGTGCAAGGGATTTCAACCTTACTCAAATGGTAACGGAACCAACTCAACAGGGAAACATTCTTGACCTGCTTTTCTCATCCCACCCAGATCTTGTTGATCAGTAACGTCTACATAGTCCCGAGCATGAGTGACTATGATGCTGTTATCTGTGATATCAATATCAGAGCAAATCCACCAGCTAACCCTAAAAGGAATGTTTATCTCTACAAGCGGGCTGACATGGAATAATTTTTAGGGGATAAAAATATGCCTATATCTATCGTTTAAATACTAAAATACGTTTAGCCATGCTATGTTTAAGTGGTTTTGAACTATATTCTCGTTGGGTGCCCCTGAGCATTCAAAGTTTTACGTTCTACCCGTTTGCAGAACCAAGTGTCCTTTTATACACCCATACACTATGCCTGGCCATACCCTACAGACTGTAGACCACTACCCTTACCTCGGAGGTTCTCTGTCAGAGGACCTACACATGCATGGAAGCCACATATCCTGAACATTACAAACAAAGCCAATTAGACACTTGGCTTTGTCAAGAGGAACTTGCATCATTGCCCACAGAAGGTTAAAGATCAGGCCTACAAGAGATCAACGTTGGAATATGGTTGTACTGCCAGTGGGATCCGTATAGAACATACCAGAAATCATGGCTCGAACAGGTCTAGCACAGGCAGCACGCATCGTAACAAGAACTTACACGAGGGAGGAGGGATGCGTAACCAACGCCCTAAAGCAACTATATTGGCCAACTCTCGAAAAAAGAAGACAAGTAGCTAGACTGACACTGATGTACAAATGTGTTACCAGCCAGGCCGCTATTGATATCCCCTGCTATGTACAACATCAGTCTTTCCTAAAAACCAGAGCATCTCATCCACTGAAATTTATTCCACTACAGCCATCCTGGGACACTGTACAAATACAGCTTCTGGCCGAGAACTATCATTGACTGGAATAGCCTGCCATCTGATTATTTAACAATGAATTCAACTGCAAAATTTAAAGCCATCATCTCCGACTACATTTTTTCAGTGTGATGTTCACCCCTTTCGATTATAGTATTTTCATTTTTATATTTCTTAGTTGTAGTGCTTTAGTTATTAGTTAGGAAGATGATATATGTATACACAATTGAAGTTAATAGAATCTAACGCTAACTGTTTCTGCAAGTTTTCAGTGCCTATTTTGAAGAAAGGTGTTATGTCAGCGCGTTTCCACTTGCTAGGCAATTGGCCAAGCGCGAAGGACTTATAGATTGTAATGCACATATAGATGGAGATAGAACCGATTCACATTCTAATAGAACCCCGGAGACAAACCGTCAGGCCCTGGAGACTTATAAGCATTTAGGTCCTTTAACAGCTTTTCAATCCGGTGTTAATGGAACAATTATAGATGTTAGAAAGCTAGGGTGACAACATAATCAAAATTACATAAAAGCGTTGGGCAAAATTGAAAATGGCTTAGAACGCGGTTTTGTTAAACACGGGTTAAACTCCTTTTAAACGACTGGCCGAAAGTTTCTAGCCGTGAAGGAAAATGCTAGCGAGCCTCTGGTTTACCACTCGATTAATCAAACGCAGTGAATTAACACAGATAAGTTAAGTTGAAAACAGCTTGCGGACTGAGAGAGAATCATATAGGTATGACTTGTAAGATCAGATGTAGAAAGGGTCTGTTTAACTTCCAGCGACATGAATAGTTTTACAAAAGGGAGCGAGTGAACTCGACACATAGCCGATGCTGAATGACAAGGCCCTTTACTCCCGATGTCAAGAGTAGGGTCGAGTCACTAGTACGAATGCCCTATGAGACCTATGGAAGATGGAAGGAAGATAGTAGCCCTATACCATTGATATAAGGGTTTTTAACATTTTAAATGTTACCAATTTTGAATGCTTCGGTGGGTAGGAATTTTTTATGAGCCTAACCTAATTCGATTAAGGCCGACCCAATTATTTAAACGGGGAGATCTTAATTTAAGCCGAACTAGATTCGAAAGGAGGAACTGTTCATTTTCATTTTATTTTTTGGAAAAGATGTTATAATAGGGTACTTGAAAATTTCGGCGTCTCAATCAAAGCGGTTTCAAGGTCGCTGCAAAGTCGAAATTCCCGGCTGGGGTTGTAACTTGATAACCAATTCTCTGTTTTGTTTTGTATTTTCTTTTTCCCTTTCCACGTGCTTCGTTATTGTATTTTCCATGAGTTTTATTTATTGCATAGTTTTATAAATATTCTAACTTAATTATTTCTATATACGTTACCTAGTATTTTAGTTAGGTCTTTTAGGTAGGTGTCCTTATGGGCAACCGCTATTTTTTGGCAACGGAATATAGTTATCAATATGTAATTATTATTATTATTATTATTATCATTGTTATTATTAGGTGCCCTATACGAGTTTCAAGTACCATCACAAGTAGTAGGAAGTGAAGATCAAGGAGCTGGTCAATTTACTTTTACTATCACTAGTACTGGTCCGATTGACTCGTCTCCCGTTTATCTGAGGTGAGAAGAATACCATTTCAGATTTCAGTTAAAGCTTTAGCTAGGAAAAGTCTACCTCATGCAGCACTATCGTGTGTGATCAGTATAATCATCAATATCAATCATCATTACCGTCGCTATCATCATCATCATCATCACCATCATCATCATCATCATCATCACCATCACGATCATCATCAACATCATCAGCAACATCAACATCTCTATCACTATCATCATCATCATTATCACTATCATCATCAACAGTATCATCATTATCACCATCACTATCACCGTCATCATCAATTTGATAAAATTTTTACAAGTAAAATTGACAAGTGTAGCTATCGATTTCGGACTATAAAACAACCGCTAAGCTAGTAAATTACAATTGACTTGTAAAAGTTTTATTCAATTGCCCCAAACTCTAAAACAATACCTTCGCTTGAAAATCACACTTGTAAGTGTTATAAAATCAACTCCAGTATGCAATACGTACACAAACAACATAATGGAGTTGCCCAAATTCCTTTTGGGTGTAACACATATAAGACAACAAGCCTTCTTAGCGAAAAACGTTCTAAGTTCTTCCTGTAACTTTGGGTGAATTCGATTGATTGTATTCCGGAATAACAAGCTTTATTACAAATCTCCTCTGCCGTGATGTTTGGGCCACTTGAATGCCCCATGCATCTTAATATGTAATTTAAAGAAGATTTCTGGCTATTTATTGTAGTCTAACATACAGAACAATTGAATGATTTCTTATTTCGGAATACAGTCAATCCAACGCGCCCTGAACTAGCCAGGACCACAAATAAAACGAGTTGCATGCCCCTTACCTTAGGCAGGTGTTGATTTATTTGAAGTACAAACAGCTATTTCGAGAGAGGTTGTCGGAAAAATGTGCACGCGACAATCCCGAAAGGTAACATGGGATATGATCAATACACTGTTCCTGACGATTGTAGCTGTCGAATTTATTTGTGGTGCTTTCCTCTAGCACTCGCGAACACATGTCCATGGCCTCAAGTGCCATTCTTTCAAATTTCTTTGAAGAAAAGTGAACTCAAAACCACCTACAACACCTTTTTGGATTGTCGCGTGCACTTTTTCCGACGACCTTTCTCGAAATAGCTGCATACTGGTTGGTTCACGATGTCAGGACACCTCTTGCCTAACCATGAAGCTTGAATTTCCCGTAAGAAATGCCTATTATTATCAATACGCGCGGCCGAATGACTAACTGCCCTCTGGAAAACGCGCCTGTTTGCGGAACAAGAGGGAAATGCGTGGGCTGAAAATGCATTTGCCGTCCTGATTCTGATTGGCTGCAAAGATGGTAACAATGATTAGCGAAAAGACAGTTTATATTTAAAAAAATAGTAGTCTTGTTAAAACTAGATTATATTTGACTTTATTGTAAACAAATTGGAATTTTTTTGGGCTCTTGTTTAGATGATCTCATTGTAGCAACAACTTTCTATACCGATAGTTTCATTATCAATGTTAAACATTGTTTTCTTATTAAGTGATTTGGCCTTGTGTATTGATAATAATGATATTCACATCACTTTTGGCGGGCATATTATAGTTTATTTGTGTCTCTTGTAGCATCATTTGCACCCTCGCTCCGCTCGGTGTAAATGATGCTACTCGGGCTACAAATAAACTATATGCCCTCCAAAAGTCATGTCAGGATTGTCCTATTCTCATTTTCTTAGAAAACGCGGGAGAATGTGGGGGCAAGGTGGATTTAAATCATAGTTTAGTTTGAATACAAGCCAGAAATAAGGCTCAAGAAAGAGTGGACTGTCAACCTTACTTAAAGGACAAGCATCTCTGAGTAATAACCCGAAAAATAACAGGAAAAATAGGAATTAAAATGACTATATTTTTTCAATCACCTTTTCGTTTGTGTTCTGAAAAGCTACGTTATGAATAGAAGACTTTTCAATAAAGTTGAAAACGCGTTAATAAGTTAATTTAGGTCTTACGACTTTTCTACTTTTATAAAGCACATCAGCCGTAGTCACTAAAACCCGGAACGACCCACAACGACCCACAACGATCCACAACGATCCATAACGACCCACAACGATCCACAACGACCCACAACGATCCACAACGTTGCGTTACATAAACCGGAACTGACTGAGAACAATTTACGCCCATGTGATTTTGTTATATAATACGTTTTCCTTCAAGTGTGGCACGGAATGTACTAGGTTTTTCAACAAGGATTTTATGAAGATGTTTTTAAGTTGGCGAGTTTCTTAACTCTATGTTTTTACGAGGCTGGACAAATGTAAGTTTTCTGCAATTTGTCTTCGTTTATTTGACTGTCTTTTCGCTAGCTAAGGATTCCCATCTAATTTTGTATCATTTCGCAATTTTTAGCTTCAGATTACCACATTACTACGTTCTACCGCATTGTTTTAATAAATACTGAAAATCCAGCCTTTGCCGTGGTTTTGCTCCTTTGACCCATCGGCCCAGCAGTTCGCTTCGCTAGCCCAGAAATGTTTACGGAGAACAAAGCTGATGAAACTTTTCATGTGTCTTATACATATCTTTATTCGATGGCCGGCCGAAGAGACATCGATCGTACTTACAAATGTGTCTCTGAATGGAGATTCTTTCTCGTGAAAAGTTGTATTTGCCCATTTATTTTGTCCTGTTTTTGACAACCCTATGAATGTGTTACCGGACTATCAAAGGTACTCTGGGTAGTTGTGAGTCGTTATGTTTGCTATTCAGTATGCTTTTCAATGTTTGGAAAAAATTCAAAAGTTAAGTTTTTGATATTTTTTTCTTGGGTGATTTCTTTTGTTCTGGGATCGTTGAGGGTCGTTTTGAGATCGTCCTCGGTCGTTTGAAGATCGTTGTGGATCGTTGTGGATCGTTGTGGGATCGTTGTGGGTCGTTGTGGATCGTTGTGGATCGTTGTGGGTCGTTCCGGGTTTTAGTAACTACGGCACATCAGCTGTGGAATAGCCGAAACCTTAAGAAAAAAGAAATGGTACAAGAGAAATTTAAATAACGCTATCTGGCGTTAGTGAACAGAGAAAAATTTGTGGAGAATAGAAATTTAAAACAAGCAAAATGTATCAAACTGTAGTACGTGCAGTAAGGCAGTAATCAATGGAAGTCTATTGAAGTTCTGGCTAACGAGCTACCAGCACTTTGCAGCTCTAAATTCGGGTTCAACAAGTAGGGTGCCAAACATATTCTTAGAATTATATCCTCGTTTCGTATTTGTAATCTATAAGCTGGGATTCTTTTCTTGTTTCAGGGGCTTCACGGAGGACATTACAGCCACGGCTCATTTAGATTACGGACCGCTAGATGGAGCCCTAACTCTTTCACCCTTCGTGGGGGTGATAGCGATTTTTGTTAATTACAGTATTTTAGACGATGATGTGTTTGAAGGAGACGAAACACTGGAATACATATTTTTACTTTTTGACGATCCATCCCCGTCCGGTAACCTCATCGCAGGTCCTGCCATTGTACCATTTGTAATTGTAGATGATGAAGCCCCGAGTAAGTACTCCAACGAAGAAAAATATTTTCAATATAATTCCTAAAACCCTGAACAATAACTCAGGATATCTAACTAACTAGAATTGGTAGGGGTAATATTGTTATGTTATCGTGCTAAAAGCGAAGTTCCTGTTAATTCATTAATAAGTTACTTCAAACAATAAACCGCAACAGTAAAATCAGACCGCCGGCACATTAGAACTCAGCGTGCTGCAGAAAATTGCACACCCAGAAAAGCTGTTTCTGATGGCCTAATCTTAAATGTTCAATCCTTGTCTAATTCGCACAGGCTGTTTGGGCTGTAATTTATCTCTCTCTTACAGGCTGGCAGGCTAGTACATTATATTGCATGTACCCATGAACAATACCTAGAACCAGTTTCTATGGACTCCTGGCAGTTTTATTTGTATTTCTGTCGAATTCCTCACCGGATTAGTATAGGTAATAGCATGATTTGTAGTGATATTTGGCATAAATACCACGAGTGGCATTTCAAAATTGAGACAATTTTGAAATATCACGAGTGGTATTTATGCCAAATATCACTACAAATCATGCTATTATTATTTTGTTTATACTACTACCCGCAAAAGGTTTGTAATTTTCACATGTAGGTATTTCAAATTAAGCTGAAATACCACTGCTCTAAGCCAATCAAATTGCAGACATTTCTCATGTAGTAGTATAACAGATATAATCTCAGGGGCACCCAACGACTATTTTCTGTAAAATATCTGGCATGTTGGGAGAAGCAAATATTGCCTTTAGTTTCCTATAGCTTGAGAACGGCTAACAATTTCTAGATGACAATTCCATTCATGAACAATTTTCGAAGCTTATCTAACAAATTCCCTACGATTTTCTGAAGTTTAATTTTTCACATTTCACTACCAATGTTAGACTATTTTTCATTTTCGGATTAAAAAATGTGATGGAGAGAGGAATCACAAAAATTATCACTTTCGTGATATGTTAAATTGCATCTAACATTTTCGGGAAAATAATACTGAATCCCTCGTAATTTCGAAAAGAGTCAAGTTCCCCCAGGATGAATTAATTGATACAAATTTTATAGCGCCCGTTAGAACGCATTTCTAGAGATGTAAAAGCACTCTGGATAGCCTAAAAAGTGTTTTCAATGTATTTAAGACTCCGTCGCGCGTTGGGTGCCCCTGTAATCTATCTTGCTTGGCAGTTAAAAATTTTTAAACTTATGTGCATTTGAGTTTAGGACGTGAGAGGTCAGATTGTGCTCTTTTTCATTTGTCGCCAGACATATCCATTATCATTTCCTTGGTAGTTTACTGTAAGAGACTTTGGAAAACTGTGAAACTTTGGAAAAATTGGGTATTTAACCGGAAATAAATAGGTCTGAAGGTCTGTCATTCTCATCAAGGGCACAGTGAACAGACCAGGAAAGAGGGTCAGCGCCGAAAAAGGAAAAGCCAACTCCGTCCGGAGAAAACTTCAATTAAATAACCCGACAAAGTGTGCGTTGATAAAGTAGAAAAAAGTAGTAACGGTGAATGAAAGCTTGGTTTTTTGACTCTCTTTCCGCACGTTTCAAACTGTGGTACCACAGCTGGCCCTACGTGCCTGAGTCGACTACCATCAACTAAACCAACTTTCGCCCCCAAAATCCATAATTCTGCGTTTGACTATTTGTTCTACAAGTTTACTGACACGATAGAAGTTATTGAAACCTAACGGTAATTGTTTCTGCAGTATTTAGTGCCTTCTTTAAGGTGGCTGAACACAGTTTTGGTAGTTTGTGAGCATATGTTATTTGCCAAATCATGTCAAGAGAAAGGTTGCAGCTCACACGCTGAAACTTGGCAAGTGAAAAATACATTGACGAAACATTTTGATTGACAGGTAAAATGTAAGTTTTTCGTAGTTTCCATGGCAACATGAACGATTGAATACAACCTTAAAATTTCACTTTTGCCCAGTTTACATAAAGTTCGCTCATTAGATTTTCCTATAAACTTGCACACAGCTTACTATTATTAATCATTACCATTTGAAACTTATTTGACCGAATCTTAACAGACAAGTTTTTAGATAATCAATAATACAATTGTACTGTAATTATTAAATGTGTCACAAAATTCGTCTGTTCAACTTCCATTTTAAAGTTCTCATTATTTAAAATACGATAAAAGGAAAAATTCTGCCAAATATCACAAAATTTTAATGAGTAGATTTTGAGAAATCTTCCTCTCTGTACCACTGCTTTTTTCGCCACCACGTGAGTTACCGCTGACCGCGCGCAAAACTGTGTTCAGCCACCTTAAACAAAGGTGTTATGTCAGCACGTTTCCACTCGCTAAGCAATTGGCCAAGCGCGAAGACTTATAGATTGTAATGCACATATAGATGGAGAGAGAACCGATTCCCATTCCAAGATGCGCGGTGCCAAACCATCAGGCCTGGGGGACTTATTAGCATTTAGGTCCTTTAACAGCTTTTCAATCTTGTTAACGGGACAATAGATATTAGAAAGCGTAGAGGTGACAACATAGTCAAAATTACAAAAAAGCGTTGGGCAAAATTGAAAATGGCTTGGAACGCGGTTTTGTCAGACACGGGCTAAACTCCTTTTACACGACTGGCCCAAAGTTTCTAGCCGTGGAGGAAAATGCTAGCGAGCCTCTGGTTTACCAGTCGATTAATCAAACTCAGTGAATTAACACAGATAAGTCAAGTTGAAAACAGTTTGCAGATTGACAGAATCATATAGGTATGACTTGTGAGTGCAGATGTAGAAAGGGTCAATTTAACTTCAAGCCGCATTAATAGCTTTACAAATTAAAAGGGAGCGAGTGAACCCGACACATAGCCAATGCTGAATGACAAGACCCTTTACTCCCGATGTCAAGAGTAGGCTCGAGTCACTAGTACGAGTGCCCTATAGCTATGAGACTTATGGAAGATGGGAGGAAGATGTTAGCCCCATACCACTGATACAAGGGCTTTTAACATTTTAAATGTTACGTACCAATTTTGAATGCTTCGGTGAGTAGGATTTTCGGAAATTTGGAATTAAGCCCCTAAAGGAGACCAATCTGGGCGTGGTCCAATCTTTTTTTGATTTCTAAAAGAGAACATTTTAAATCTTGATTACATGAATCGAGTAAATAAAACAAATTGATAATATATAATTTTTCTATATCTGTTCGCGTGCAATCCTAAAAGCGACCATTACGGCTAAGTATAATGGCGTTTTGCCCAGAACACCCTAAGTGAGACCAAAGTCCGAAATTTACACCCCTAAGCGAGACGACCAGCATCCCCGCCACTTTCATATGGGATCCCTCTCCCCCCCCGGGGTTCCCCGCTCCCTGCTCCCCGTTTTAGTAACATCCTGTTACTCTGGTCCAAATTAGATGTCAAAATAAGAAAACAGCAATCTTTAGAAGCTTTTAAGAATAAAATTACAATAATTTTAGCTACCTTTATCTCTACTAGAAGACAGCGACATCTGCTCCCTGTGTAACTCTTAGAATTTCTTTTACAATTTATGTTATTATATTTTGGTTGAATTTTATTTATTACATAGTTTTATAAATGTTCTAACTTAATTGTTTCTATATATGTTAACTAGCAATTTAGTTAGTTTTTTAGCTAAGTGTCCTTACTTAATGGGCAACCGCTATATTTATTGGCACAGGAATATAGTTATCAATGAATTTATTATTATTGTTATTATTGTTATTATTATTATCAGGCTCCCCATTCCAGTTTCAAGCACCACCCCTAACAGTAGCAAGCGAGGGTCAAGGAACTACTCAATTTATTTTGCTTCTCCAAAATATTGGTTATTGGGGCCCGTTTCCTGTTTATCTGAGGTGAGAAAATTACTTACCATTTCAGTTTTTAGTTAAAAATTTAGCTAGAAAAAGTCTACCGAATGCAGTGCTTTCGTATGTGATCATTATAATCATCAACATTATCATTATCGTCATCACTATCATCATCATCATCATCATCACTACCTCCATCACCGTCTTCATCAATTTGATAAAACTTTTACAAGTGAAATTGACAAGTGTAGCTATTGTTTTCGGACTATTAAACAACCGCTAAACTAGAAAATTACACTTAATAACTTGTAAACGTTTTATTAAATTGACCCCAGACTCTAAAACAATAGCTTCGCTTGTAAATCACACTTGTAGGTTTTATCAGATTAATTCCAGTATGCATATACACAAACAAATTAATGGAGTTGCCCAGATTCCTTTGGGTGTAACACATATAAGACAACAAGCTCTCTTAGTAAAAAAGGTTCTAAGTTCTAAGTTCTACCTGTAACTTAGTGTGAATTCGATTGATTGTATTCCGGAATAACAAGCAAAGCTTTCAATAGTTACCAATCTCCTCAACCGTGATTTTTGGGCCACTTGAATGTTCCATGCATCTTAATATGTTATTTCAAGTAGATTTCAGGCTATTTATTGCAGTCTAACATCCAAAACAATTGAATGATTTCTTATTTCGGAATACAGTTAATCCAACGCGTCCTGAACTTGTCAGCACCACAAATAAAACGTGTTACGTGCCCCTTACCGAAGGCAAGTTTTAATTTAATGAAGTAGATATACTTGGAAAACGCAGGGAAACGTGGGGGTTAAGTGGATTTAAATCATAGTTCAGGTTGAAAACAAATCGAGAAATAAGGCTCAAGGAGGAAAAATAAAAACAAAAATATTTATTTCAATGACCTTTTTGTTTGTGTTTTAAAAAGCGACGTTTATTATGAATAGAAGACTTTTCTATGAAGTTGAAAACGCGCTCTTATAATTACGTCTTGCGACTTTTTCTTTAAGAAAAGAATTCAGAAATGGTACCAGAGAAATTTAATTAACACTATCGCGCGCTAGTGAGCAGAGAAAACTTTGCGGGGAATAGAAATGTGAATCAAGGAAAATGTTGTACGTGCAGTAAGGTAGTCCTTAGCCTGTGCCAGGCTCTCAGATAGTATAGTGGGAACGTATTAAAACGAGTAAAGCGAAAATAAGACGCGCACGACTCGGGAAAGGGGGCGGTGGCGGCGGGAAAAATGAGAGAGAGCCTGTTAGCATTTCTTTAACGACCCCCTTCCGCCCATTTTTGTCACTTCTGGATTCGGCTGTCAAAACTGTTTAAAACACTTCAGTTAATCACAATCATTCTCAAGTTTCTCGCGTGAGCATTGCACGCGACGCGAACTCCTTGTGCGATGTGTGGAAATTTATGTCTTCGAATTCGTTATCCTGTGAAAGCATCCGTTTTTTTTTTGGCTCTAGTTTATAGCAATAAAAGGGGCGGTAAGTTTTTTCCTCTGTTGGGTATAGGTAGGTTATATTCTGGAAGGTTCTACATTGTCACTGAGCAAATGTGACTTTAGCCGCTTGTTTCACACTGAGAGGTCATGGCACACATATCGATTTACTGTGGCGTTTGTTTCTGGTAGGCAGGATTTGCCCTCTGATGAGAGAGCATTTTCTTTGACCTCTTTTGAACGTTAAGCTTTTTATTGCGGCTGAATAAGGGTTTTAATTTTCTCTAAAGTGCCTCTGGATCCGACTAACTAAGTGATTTTCTTTAGTCCGTTAATTAATGTAATATTTTTCTGCAATGTTGTATCACGCTGGGCCCAGCTCGTTAGTTTTCTTTGCAGAATGTTAAATTATCACGGATAGTGACTTACAGATCCAGAATTATAAGAATGAAGTGCAGCTCAACTAAGGAGAATTGCATTGTGATTTAATAAACTCCAGCTTGATAGTGGAAAACAGTGTGAGTCTTTTGACTGGAGCGCGTAATTTCTCCCTTGGTGATAGAGGAATAAGCTTAACAGTCTTTGGACTGTTTTGTTATTGCCACTTTGTGATCAACCAGGACTCCGGATTACCGAAAACAATTTCGCACTTTCCTTCTCTCGCTTTCTTGTCGTCCTCCTCTCCCTCTTCACCGTTGCCAAATAGCTGCGGCCGAAAATCCAAGCTTTTTCAGTTGTTCCACTTGGTCTCGCATTATAGATATCAGCGGCGAAACGACTATTATCGTAGAGTTTTCTAGGGTTAGAGCAGCTTTAGCCAAGCGTGGGAATAGCTGAAAGATTAAACTTTTGCCGAAACCGGTGGGTATAATACCGAAAACATCTTTACCGCGAGCCAAGTCGCAGACACTCCAGGGGCATCCAACGAGAATATAGTTCAAAATCACATAAACATAGCATTGTTGAACGAACTTTAGTATTTAAACGGTAGATAAAGGCTTCTTTTTATCCCCTAAAAATTTTCCATCTGTTTGGATTTCCTAGCTGAAAGTATAGTGATCCGAAAATTATAGGGATCAAAATTTACCTTTTCGAAAATTTCAGCCAGAAAAAAGGCTCCCGAAAATTCTAGGTGACCTTTTTAGGGTAAAAATCCGTTAAAAATGGGCAATTATACGATTTTTTTGAAGTTCGAAAATCCTAGGAGAGGCAGGCAAGCAATAAATTTTTCAGAAAATGATCCGAAAATTCTAGACCTCAAATCGTCTTCCGAACAGATAATTTTCCGAAAATTGTCGTTGGGTGCCCTGAGCACTCGTCTAAAGCACAAGACAAAGCGGACTCATGAAGATCACACGCGCGATTCGCGTTAGCCATCTTGGTGATGACAAACTGATGACCACGCTACTAGGTGATGATGTTAACTGTCACAATTGACCAATCGAGGGTATATCAGGAGCTGATATACCGGAACAGGCCGTTAAAAAAATGCGTACAGGCTCCGCCGCCCTGTCTCTCCCCAGCCCCCGTGCGTTTTTCGCATTTCTTATTACTGAACGACTTTCCACCACCATCTCGGAGCCTGGAACAGGCTAGGTAGTCCTCAACAGAAGTCTATTGAAGTTCTGAACGAGCCTCCAGCCGCTTTTTGCAGCTCTAAATTTGGATTCAACAAGGAGAGTGTCAAATATATTCTTAGAATTAGATCGTCCTTTCGTATTTTGTAATCTATAAACAGGGAATCTTTCCTTGTTTCAGGATCAGTGTGTTGGACATTACAGCATTGGCTTCTGTCGACTACGTACCGAGGGATGAAGTCCTACAAATTTCATCCTTCATCGCGGCGAATGAGTATCCTATCACCCTCATTATTATAGACGATGATGTGTTCGAAGGAACCGAAACAATGGAATTCGAGTTCTCAATTTTTGACGATCAGCCCCCGTCCGGTAACCTCATTGCAGGTCCGGCCATTACAACAGTTGTAATTGTAGATGATGATGCACCGCGTAAGTACTCCAACGCAGAAATATATTCTCGATATAATTCCTAAAACCCTGAACAATAACTCAGGATATCTAACCAATTAGAACTGATTGGCAGGGAGAATATTGTTTTGATATCGGCTGTTTAATATATGTATATCTTTAGCTAGCCAAAGCTAAAAGCGAAGCTCCTGTTAATACATGAATAATATAAGTTACTTCAAACAATAAACCGCAACAGTACAATCAGACCGCAGGCACATTAGAACTCTGCGTGCTGCAGAAAATTGCACACCCAGAAAAACTGTTTCTGATGGCCTAATCCTTGCCTAATTCGCACAGGCTGTTTGGGCCGTAATTTATCTCTCTCTTATAGACTGGCAGGCTAGTACATTATATTGCATGTACCCATGAACAATACCTAGAACCAGTTTCTATGGACTCCTGGCAGTTTTATTCGTATTTCTGCCGAATTCCTCACCGGATTAGTATAGGTAACAGCATGATTTGTAGTGATATTATATTTGGCATAAATACTACGAGTGATTGAAATATCACGAGTGGTATTTATGCCAAATATCACTACAAATCATGCTATTATTATTTTGTTTATACTACTACCCGCAAAAGGTTTGTAATTTTCACATGTAGGTATTTCAAATTAAGCTGAAATACCACTGCTCTAAGCCAATCAAATTGCAGACATTTCTCATGATATCAGATATAATCTCAGGGGCACCCAACGACTATTTTCTGTAAAATATCTGGCATGTTGGGAGAAGCAAATATTGCCTTTCTATAGCTTCAGGACGGCTCACAATTTCTAGATGACAATTCCATTCATGTACAATTTTCGAAGCTTATCTAATAAATTCCCTACGATTTTCTGAGGTGTAATTTTTCACATTTTACTACCAATGTTAGACTATTTTTTGTGGAAAAAAGGATACCTAACATTTTCGGATTCAAAAATGTGATGGAGAGAGGAATCACAAAAATTATCACCTTCGTGATCTGTTAAATTGCATCTAACATTTTCGGGAAAATAATACTGAATCCCTCATAATTTCTTCTTTCGTAAAGAGTCAAGTTCCCCCAGGATGAATTAATTGATACAAACTTTATAGCGCCGGTTAGAATGCATTTCTAGAGATGTAAAAGCACTCTGGATAGCCTAAAAAGATTTTTCAATGTATTTAAGACTCCGTCGTTGGGTGCCCCTGTAATTTATCTTGCTCGGCAGTTAAAAATTTGTAAACTTATTTGTATTTGAGTTTAGAACGTGAGAGGTCAGATTGTGCTCTTTTTCGTTTGCCGCCAGACATATCCATTATCATTTCCTTGCTAGTTTACTGTAAGAGACTTTGGAAAACTGTAAAACTTTAAAAAAATTGGGTATTTAACCGGAAATAAATGTAGAGATTTAAGAAGTACACGAAAAGCCATTTTAAATACTGAAGTAAACACTTCCTTTTTTTGTTTCAGCTCCGCCGTCAACATCACCTTCGGTGTCTCAGTCAATATCGTTGTCACAATCTGTATCACCATCCACCTCAGCCTCGGCGTCAACATCAGTGTCTGCCTTATCATCAATGTCACATTCCATATCTACATCAATATCGCAGTCAATGTCAACCTCGTTGTCGCCATCTACTTCAGCCTCGGCGTCAACTTCAGTGTCTGCCTCATCATCAATGTCACATTCCATATCTACATCAATATCGCAGTCAATGTCAACCTCATTGTCGCCATCTACTTCAGCCTCGGCGTCAACTTCAGTGTCTGCCTCAACATCAATGTCACATTCCATATCCACATCAATATCGCAGTCAATGTCAACCTCATTGTCGCCATCTACTTCAGCCTCGACATCAACTTCAGTGTCTGCCTCAATATCATTGTCAAATTCCATGTCAACATCAATATCGCAGTCAATGTCAACCTCATTGTCTACATCTACTTCAGCCTCGACATCAACTTCACTGTCTGCCTCAACATCAATGTCACATTCCATATCCACATCAATATCGCAGTCAATGTCAACCTCATTGACTACATCTACTTCAGCCTCGACATCAACTTCAGTGTCTGCCTCAACATCAATGTCACATTCCATATCTACATCAATATCGCAGTCAATGTCAACCTCATTGTCGCCATCTACTTCAGCCTCGACATCGACTTCAGTGTCTGCCTCAACATCAATGTCACATTCCATATCTACATCAATATCGCAGTCAATGTCAACCTCATTGTCGCCATCTACTTCAGCCTCGACATCAACTTCAGTGTCTGCCTCAACGTCAATGTCAAATTCCATGTCAACATCAATATCGCAGTCAATGTCAACCTCATTGTCGCCATCTACTTCAGCCTCGACATCAACTTCAGTGTCTGCCTCAACATCAATGTCACATTCCATATCCACATCAATATCGCAGTCAATGTCAACCTCATTGTCGCCATCTACTTCAGCCTCGACATCAACTTCAGTGTCTGCCTCAACATCAATGTCACATTCCATATCTACATCAATATCGCAGTCAATGTCAACCTCATTGTCGCCATCTACTTCAGCCTCGACATCAACTTCAGTGGTTGCCTCAACATCAATGTCAAATTCCATGTCAACATCAATGTCGCAGTCGATGTCGCCATCTAGGTCAGTCTCGGCATCGGTTTCAGCGTCAATGTCGCCATCACCATCAGTTTCGGTGTCAAATTCAGTGTCTGCCTCAACAGCGATGACATATTCAGTGTCACATGTCACGAGACCATCTTCATCGCAGGTTTTTGCGCCATCATCGGCTCAGCAAACATCATCAGCTGTGCCATCTTCTGTGGGCCCCGGCGATGGGGCTGTTACTGGTGGGCAAACGGGTGATGATGATTTGGGTACGTGGTTCGTTATCTTTGTCCTTCACATAGGTGTAAAAATAATGAACAGTAATCCAAAACCAGGCTAGGGGGTCTTATAACAGGATATATATCGAACCATTTTTTTGAAAACCAACCTAACGAAGTTTGCAGTGACTGTCATTTGAGTGCAAAGGTGTCAAAAGGCAGGTGTCTTTAACCCGAGAAGCTCTGAAAATCAATTGACGAAGGAAGAGGAAAGGGGAAAGAGAAAAAGCGAGAAGAAGGAAAGGAGGAGAAGAAGAAAAGCAATAGTTGCACTCTTTGTTTTTATAATAGTTACTTTAGAGTTTTTGGCCGAAAAAAAATTGTTGGGCGCAAAAGGTCCATTTGGCAATATATAGATATTGATATAGGTATACTTACGGCATACGGCATTTCAGCCAATAGGAGAAAGAGTAATTCAAAAAAAGGAGTAAAACCAATGAATGATTTTCCAGTAATCGGAGACCCATGTTTTGCTCACAGGATTATGGGATCGCCAGGGGGCAAACATTGCGAGTCGCTACAAAGAAATGTATGGCGTGGAGTTGTTTCTCCGTTAAAAGCAGTGTCTTTGGACAGAGAATGCCGCATTTTGCCATGATTTTATGAGAAGCGGAGGTGACTTAATGTTGGTGCGTTGAAATTTCAAGTTTCTGTGTGATTAATGCGATAAATTTTATCGATAAACACTCCTTGCGTGAGGTTGAGTGTGAAATCTTTGTTTACTGAATTTACACAGTGATCTACATGAAGAAAAAGTCTCGAGATATATAGTGCAAATCTAGGTATACATGTAGGGGGATTGGCTCCTTTAAGCGTTTAAGTGATTTTTACGTGTGGTGATATTTACACGACGAGCGTAACTACGCTCGGCCGCGATCAGCACTGTGCGGAGCTGTGCGGTTATGACAAGACAACAATCGTAGGTATGTACGTGGCCATAAAAGTAAAGAATCCTCCTTTAATTTGGTATAAACAAAGTGACAGCTACGGAATATTTCATAGAAAGTACATTTAACCATTAGTAGATGAGGCAGAAATCGCGGAACGAGTAAGATTTCCGATACAAAAGCAGTCAGAGTGTGTAAAAAAATGCCAAGTTGATGTGCGAAATTCAGAGACTCTATATCTTCCCTACTGAAAATGATTGGGAAAGGCATTAGAACTCATCGGTGCTCTAGCCCGATCTGAATCATGACAAAACATTTCGCTTATGTTTTTTGGGCGAGAAGAAATCAATATACTAATGTGGGGAAGATGTTTTTGTTTTTAAAGTTAATACATATCAAATTCGACAATACATAAGCTTACCTTCGATCGTTGTCACAAACAGGCACAGCATTGTGATCGCCGCCGAGCGGAGCGTAATTACACTCGTTGTAAATATGAGCACATGTAAGCACAACTGGAAAGGCTTAAATGAGTCCGCTTTCCCCGCTCATTTATACCTAAGTTGGTACTTTATATTTCGAGACCATTCAGTAAATTTTCACAGTCGACCTTACGCAAGGAGTGTTTATCGATAGATTTCATCGCATTGATCCCACAAAATCTTACAATTTCAAAGCACCAACATTAGTCACCTCCGCTTCTCATAAAATCACGGCAAAATGCGGCATTCTCTGTCCAAAGACACTGCTTTTAACGGAGAAACAGCTCCACGCCATGCATTTTTTTGTAGCGAGTCTAGCGACTTGCAAGGTTTGCCCCCTGGCGATCCCACAATCCTGTGCGCATAACTAAGTCTCACATTACTGGAAAATCATTCATAGAGAGAAGTGTGACGTCACGTTACCATGGTAGCAAAATTTTTGGATTACACCAAGGAAGCTTAAGCAACGACGACGGCGACGGCAACGAGAACGGCAAAAAAGCAATGGGTTTATACTAACAAGAAAAACAACTTTGCACGTGCATCACGCTTTTTTGCACAGGTTTTAGCCATCGTTGCACGACTGCGACATGAAACTTCCTAATTTCACGCGCCCGCTTTAGAGTAGGAGAACACAACACAAAAGTTTCCTTTTCTCTTTCTAAACTCAGATACGGTCCTTTCGGATTCAACCCCAGAAAATTCGCCAACATTTGACAAATTAAATGAAATTGAATAAGATCGATGAAGTTTGAAACAGTGCGAATTTACTTTTTTAAGTGAATTTTTGGTTTGTTGTCATCCAAACATTTTTCTACAATGGTAACGTGACGTAACGATTTCTCCTCTCTATCAAGGCGTGTTGTTAAGGGCTCTTTGGTAGCTTGCAGCGGGGTACAGGCGGAATCGTTAATCGCTAGTAAATGACTTTTCTTTTTCTTTTTTTTCTCTTTTAAATTTCAGAAAAGGACAAAAACACCATCATTTCCCTGATGGCGGTAGCTGTTGCTCTGATGTGCATTGGAATTGTTGTGTTGCTGATAATTGCCTGCTGTGTAATGAAAATGTAAAATAAAAAGCTAGGGAGCTAGTAATTTGAATATTCTACTAAAAACTGTTTCATCGATATAAAGAAGCAAGTAAATATAACATGTAAAAGCAGGGAAAACTTTCGGCTTTTAATAGGATGTAAAGCAGAGCAACCAGAGTGCGACTGCGCTCAGTACCTCGAACACAACTTTCATGGGTTTTCTTAAAACCAAAAGCCTCCTTGAGGATGAAAAACAACGTATATGTATGATGGATTTCTTTCAGGGTACACTGAACTGGATCGAAAAATCCGTCAAAACTTGAAATCTGACATCCACAACTAGAATAAAGGTTTGGACTTGTAGCAGCAATATTCTTGCCTAGTGATCAGCGTACGTAGAGATAGAGTACTTGGCGTTTTATTATGACATTAGTGCTTATTTACCTTTTATTGTCTTAAAACGAGTTATTTTTGGTTTTGTTTTTTTTGTTGATTGTTATTACGATTATTATTACTTTTATTTAGAATGAAAGCCATAAAGTTAGATAAACTTTTGGCGTTCATCCAATTATGGGGCTTTCGACGATGCAAAAGATGCAAATAAAATAGTTTACTCCACGTAAACTTCTATAGAGGGCGCTTCTTAGCTGTTAATAAGCTTTTACGAAAACTGCATTCAGCTGTTAGCAACAGAATGAGAACAATCTATTCTGTTTCGAATTTGCCTAGAAAGAGATCGGCTTGAAAGTTGTATTCTCACACTCTCATGTGTTTGTAAGTAGAGATAAGTGTTTGTTGTTGAAAGAAAGGTTGTTTACAGTAAGTGTGTCAGTTGTGACGATGGTATCAAGCGGTGTTGATAGCGGAGCACTATGGGTAATAAAATTTGGTAAAGTATCCATCTGACAAAATTTGGTTATGACGTCACCGTACGTCCGTACGGACTTTCCGGGTAGGGGTAAGTAGAAACGAATTCCTCCCCTTTTCCCTAGAGAGTTTTGTCCCCTATTGTTTCAAAAGTCTTTAGAAATGATTGACAAATCAGAATCTGTCAACTGACCAAATGTTTGGTGGATTTTAGGGGCCGACCATTTGACTTCTGAGGGGTTATGGGTGATTTCAGAAAAAAATGTCCTGCACACTGCGCATGCACCAAACTTTAATTTTCGGACAGGATGTCGCGAAATCAAAAGATGCGAGGAGAGTAAGAGAACCTTGAAAAATCCGTTTGCATTGCGCTTGGCCGAGTTCGATACTATACTAAAACTTCTCAGGATTACAGATCAATGATTTATTGTTCCCATTAAGTTTCGGTTTGGGCGAAATCGGGTTTTTTATCATTACTTTTATTGCTGTTGGCTGGAGAACCAAATGATGGGAAGCGCTTTGATGTCATTTCTTCCGCCAGCTTCCATACAAGCTCAGATAATCGTGAAAGGAATACGCAGAAATGGAACAGCAACAATAGAGACTGTAAGAAGGAAACCATTGAGACATTGATGTGACTGAAAAAATCTTGTGGAATTAAGCTTCGTGAACAGAATGTTTTGCAACGAAGCGTTAGTAAACTTTTAAATGAACCTCCCTACGGCCGACAAAATCAAACAAACAGGCGCTACATGTTTAGCAATGAAGTCATAATATAATTTTTGACTAACCTTTGTGATGATCATAGCGTTGATATTGCATTTTTATTTATATCTTTCAAACGTTTGAGGCTACAACGCGAGCAAATCATGCAAATATTACTGAACTTTGAACAACTGACCTCCCACACGAGTTTAACACTAGAAAAGCTGTTTTTGAAGCGAGCGGAATGAGATTTTCGGGTCGCGAAGCGGCCGTGCTAGCGACAAAATCGCGATGAGTCTTCGTGCCGCGAACCTAATTTTAAATAAGACGAAAGACTTCTTCTTAGCCTAAAAGATTACTTGAGAATGTAAACAACAAATCTCCGTCGGCGGTGCGGCCCGGAAGGAAATCTTGTCGCGTCAATATGACAGTTCTACTGTCTTTTGAAGAAAAACAGATGACTCTCGCGAGTGCGCATAATCGGGACACTGTCCCTTTAACTAATCAATCTTATCCTATATCGCAATAAACAAAAAATTCCTCGTACAACAGAATCCGGACCTTTTCCAGTTGCAGAGTCGCGTAGGTCTGTCAAACCTTTATTTTTAAAACGAAAGGTATATCATCATCATCATCATTATCATCATCATCATCACCATCATCAACAGTATTAATGTTATATCGCTTGAATGAGAGCTAAAGCATATATATGTATGTGTGAATTTTCTTTCAGGATGCACTGACAATTGAAATCAGTCACATCCACCAAAGGTGTCGTCTTTAGTAGCGGCAGTCTTTTTGCCAAGCGACCACGTAGTATATGAATTTCATATACAGTCGAGGGCAGCTCCTCTTGCGACCACTCTCGTAAGGGACCAGCTCTGGTTACGACCACCTTTGTAAAACCTCGTTTGAACTGTGACTTAAAGATTGTAATGGAAAGCTCTCGTAAGCGACCGCCATCACTTTAAAGATTACTCAGGGGACTTTTCCTTTGTTGTTAAGCTCTCATAACTTTAGCCGTGTGTTTATCAGATCAATACTGGACAAAAGCATGGTTAAAGAACGAAACAAAACAATAAGAAAGTTAATAAAGCCATGCATAAATTTATCGGAGTACTGGAAAACCCTCAATTTCAACTGTCTGTCGGTTCAGTCGGCACCCAAGAAATTATCTAATTTTAAATTTTACGGACATTTCTGAATTTTTATGCGCATTATGAAATCTCAATTTTTAAATTTTTAGCGTTTCATGTACAATTTTTTAGATTTTTTCTTATATTTACATCGTAGTCATGACGCATATAAACGCTTGAATGTTGTCTTATGCAAAGTCTAAGAATTGTCAAGGTATAATTAATTTATTAGCCGAGTGGCGTTCTGTGGCAAGGGTTGATAGTATTCTTGGGTTACCTGTGTTCTGAACATCCTGGGTAACACCAAAATTTGTAATTTACACCCCTAAACAAGAGGCCAAGTTTCCCCGCACCTTTTCATGTAGGAGCTCTCAGCCCCTCACCAGGGTTCTGGACTTAATTAATCTAATGAAACCCTAATAAATTCGATCCATTTTCACAACGGACAATTTGGTTGATAATAATCTTCAGCAAGAGCTCATTCCCTCTTGTCTTCAGTCGTCTACTAAGAAAATTTTGAGGAATTTTTAGACTTAAATTTTCCGTGAACTCTAATTAGTAGCGCCAAGTACTACGTTAGTTCGAGTTAATTGCGAACCCTTTTAGCTGTGTCACAACAGTCATGAAATTCCGACTCTGGGTAGGTGTATGGGTCGGGGTCCACTGTCCTTTTGTTTCGTTTCTATGTTTTCGACCTACTTGTAAACTTAAAAAAAAGAAACAAAACAAAAGAGCAAAGGACCCCGACCCAAAATCGATTTATGAGTGGCACTGACCTGCAGGTTGTTCATGTTGTACTGCAATCACCTTGACAGTTTCATCTCACAACTGAACTGAGTTAAGAGTTCTACATATTACTTTCACCATGCAAATGGCAAAGTATTCTTCATTGAAGTTACTTCTAATTCAGGTGTTTGCCATGTACCTTTGCAATGCACAAGGTAAGCAGTGAAGTGGTTGCTTAACAATTAGTGATCAATATTCCTCTATGAAAGTATCTGGTTCAAAATATCTAATTCTTTAAGTTAACTATTCATTGCATGGTTGAAAATGCTTGTGAGCTTTCGGTGTATTAGTCGATAATCAAACGAAGTGAATTGACACATGAGATAAGTTAAGTTGAAAACAGCTTGCGGATTGACAGAATTCTATAGGTGTGACTTGTAAGAGCAGATGTAGAAAGGGTCGCACTGTACTGTGCTGACAAAATAGAGCGAGACAACTCGACACATACTGAACCCATGCTGAATAACACGACTCTTATCTCCCGATCTCAAGGAAAGGGGGTTAAGAGAACTTGTGCTTACTGTGATTTCTCGCTAGAAGAGCTGACGGGGTCTGAAACTTCAAGTGACACTGAAAGCGAGTGAGAGAAGTCGACACATAACCGATGCTGAATAACGTGACCTTTTCCTCCGGGGACCCGATGTCAAGATTAGGGCAGTCACGAGTACGGTGTCAGAGGCAGATGGGAGTAAGATGGCAGTGCCATATCATTGGTACAGTTATGTTTAAAAGGTTTTTTTTTAACTTTGCACAACAACATTCTTCAAATGTTAACAATTTGAATGCCTCGGTGGGTAGGAAATTACGTAATTCTTTCGCAATGTTATCCGGCATGATTTTTGATTTCTAACCACACTTGAGTGTAAGAAGCCAGTCTAGACGTTTGCAATATGGCGTTTTTTTAACAATTTTCAACGAGGCCTCTTTCAATAATATTCTATCATATTCATTTAATATTTATCAATAGCCACTCGTCTGTTTGTCTTCAAGAATAAGCTTAATCCACTATCACGAACACTGAGGGAGGCTTAGGAACGTTAACCTGACTTGCTTTGGATCCTAAGATTCAATTGATTAGACTCCTGGGACTGCTCAGCAATGGTAGAGCTGAGAGAGCGAGAAACGCAAGTGCGTGTGCGCGAGATACCACCTCCCACAAGGGGAGGGGATACGAAAAAATCTTGGGTGTAAAGGTGTGGTCACCAAAAGAATTCTTTCAAGTTTTGTAGTTACGGCATCAGGCTGTGGTAACGAAGTGGGCAACAGCATCGAAAACGTCACCCAATTGGCGCTGCTTCAAACTTCATCACTCTTATTGCAACTCTTTTAACTTGTCAAATGTTGGCATATTTTTTCAAGAGCCGAATTCGAAAGGACTGTGTATCTAAGTTAACAAAAAGAAAAAGAAAATCGTTGCCTTGTGTTCCCGTCCTCCATAAAACGTGAAATTAGGACGTTTCACGTTGTATTCGTGCACGGCAAAGAAATAACGGTGTCACTACGGTGACGGCAACGAGAACGTCAAAAAAGCAGTAGGTTAAGGTCAGCAAAACAACAATTTTGCACGTGCATCACGCTTTTTTGAATTGCCTAATTTCACGTTTTGTCGACAACGTGAACATACGACGACGAATTTCTCTTTCTCTCTTTAAACTTGAACATTTTTCTTAACAATTCAATTCCATGAAAGTTTGCCTATATCAAACCTGATACTAGGTCATTGTCTGAAATCTTACAAACGTGCATAAACTTGCCGCAAAAACTGTGCTCGACTTCACGAAATTAGATATAAAAAAACAAACATCAAATACAATAATTACTCAGGCATACCATTCGAGATGCAGCTAGTGAAAGCTATCAAGTAAGGCCAGAATCGCTTGAGGTTTTAAACCCTCTTTTACGTATCAAGCAAGGTGAAAAACGAAAACGATGCCATCCGAAATCGGATTTCCGACTTTGACAAGCGACGCATTTCTCAACCAAAAACCCAATAAACAAACCAGTCGTGAATAACAGATCGAACACTCTTGATAGCAGCTGTATTTCATTTTGTACATCCAGTGGAAAAAGACAGTTAAAAAGATCACAAGTTGACACAAACTCTGTCAGCTTCAGCTATCAAAGTAAACAACTTTCAATTTTCCGCATGATATCCACGATATTAAGCAAACTGTTTCGCTGCTAGATGGTGACAAAAACATGACATAAAAACTGTGCCAAACTGTGCCACATGTATCGCCGTTAACGTATAATAAGTCTACGAGCCCTATGTCAGCTTCTACGTTCGCCAGATTTAGATCAGCTTTGCGGCTTGGAAGGATCGGAGTTTATAAATGATCAGTAACATATCCAACGAGGAATACAATATACCGTACAAAACTTTCCTTCTCGTTAAGATGCAATTGTTAGCTGATTGAGAATATGCTTTTGTTTGAATCAAAAACGGCATAGTTTTCAGTACGGAACGAAGCTTTCACGGTGGTGTAAGAAAAGTGGCACTGATCCTTGGTACCAGATTTTGTGTGTGCCGTGGTTATGTTCTAAGGAGAACGCATGTTTAGCTTAGCTATGACAGCAAGTCCGGTTTCGTAACAAACTTACATCCTCCGTCAGTTGCTTGGGAATAGCTACTAACAACAGCTCACCAAGAGAACAAGTTCCGTGAACTAAACTAGAGTATGTTGATTTAAGTTAATGTCGCATACAAAATCCGACAGTGATTGGTTCTTTAAACAGAAAGCTAATTGGATGATTTCTGTGACCTTTGTTGGATGAGGACATCTTGCATGATCCTTTTACATTATAGATCCAATGTGTAAGATTAGCCGAAAATTATTCCCAAAACCCCAGTTTGTCTTAAATTTATATTTTGCTTTATTTTATCAAGTTCCAGATCCTGTTGCCTTGTTTCCTCTCAACTCCACTTTTGGTGCCAAGGAAATCAAAAACAGAGTAACCGAAGGGAACGCGACTGGAGTTACTTTAGCTCCCGGGCCTGACGGGGTACTTGGTGGCTCGCACGAATTTTCCGGATCTCCCAACAGTTTTATCGAGTTTCCTAACAGCGAAGGGGGACCACTGGACATTCGTTACTCCATTACAATGCTTTGTTGGGTGTACTACAGTGGCCAAGACGGACCTCTCTTTAACTACGGGCCCAATGGAGCCTGGGGAGTACACCTATGGGCGGTTAATGGTCAACTGTTTGTTCGCTTCACAAAACGCGACTACTCGTTTACCCCCTCCCTATTGCACACCGCTCTAGCGGGTGGATGGAAGTTTGTTGGCGCTACATACGACCGCAGTACCGGTGATGCAAAACTATGGGTCGATGGATTCGTAGTTCAGACTCTGAACATTGGAGCAGGACTGGACCTAGCCACTCAGGACAGCATAAGGATGGGAGCAAAGAATTATGATGACAGGTACTTCAAAGGAAGGATCGCTCATATGCAGGTATATGACAAGGCCTTAACTCGGGAACAAATACAAGTGATACAGCAACAAACTCAATTTGTCGGTGAGTATGTGTCGAGTACAAAAAAATGTCCAGTGGAAGCACTCGCGTTTCGGGTACCAAGTTGGTTATTATACACTTAATGCCAGATCCCGAGTGAAACTGTTAGTTTTGTGATCCCGAGAGTCCTGGTGTTTTCCGAGACAAAGTCAAGGGAAACATCAGGACTCGAGGGAAAACAAAACCAACTGATTTCCCGAGGGACCTGATATTAAGTGTTTTGTTATATTTCTAGACTTTCACTTCAACAGCAACAAAATAACCGGAGCGAACCAAAACAGTCCACTCGGTACTTATAACAACACCAATTTAATTCTTATAAAACCGAATGAATGATTTACAAAGTTCTTTCCTCATATTATCTGCATGTTTTTCCACCACAAGCTGCTGTTTCTCTTCTGGGATGACTTGAGGCTTTGTGTTTATGTTGTGTTCATTCACGAAAACGCAACCTGGCAGTGTTTTTCCCGCATTCTGTCACACCACTTTCCACCATGCTTTGATCACGTGCTGTAATGTATCCCGAACGGGCCGGGTACATTGCTTACCGCATCACGATCGCGATACGTTTGATTTTAGTCAAGGCCACGTGACCAAGAATCAACCAATGGCAGTCCCTGTTTAGTTGAGTGAAAGTCTTGAATATAACTATTTGTGTAACTCTGAAAGGTTTGAACCAAGGAGTCATTTCAAAAGTGGGTTGAGTTTGATGGTCCGGGTGAACGTAGTCCTGATTAGGACTGTTGTTGTTGACAGTGACTGACGTTTCGACAACCTATGCGGTGGTCATCTTCAGAGTCAAAGTGAGTTGTATCACGTCAGTTGATGGTATTATACTCTGGTTATTGGTTTGATTGGTCAATTACGTTGCGATGTTATTGGTCGTCTGTCGGTTAAGCTGTGATGTTGTTGGTTATGAAGACTCGTAATCAGTAATTGGTGCGTTTCGATCCGTCTATTGTCACAGTTAAACAGTCGTCTATTGTTAGTCAAATTGTCAGTTTTCCAGTCGCTCTCTCGTAGTTAGGTTTCCTTGATCTCGTCAATAAGTCGTTTGTACAGCGCTGGTAACCGTTGGCTACGATTCAGTGGCGTTTGTTCTAAGGTAGTAAACCAGCTCTCTAAAGTAAGACGTTGATAGTAGTCTGTAGATACGTTATACATGTCGCAGAGTCCCAGTCAATTCGATGTTTCGTTTGTGATGTTCAGTTTTTATGACAAAGTTTTAGTGGAACATCAGTGAATCCCAAGGGTACACTCCGCAGTGACACCTGTCTGGTTTTAATGTTGAGAGCGAATTTAAAGAACAATTGTACGCTGGCATTCTCGATAGCCTGAGATAACTCAGGCTAATAACTTTGCATTCAAGATTTTACCTTAAAAGTCAAAACATGGTCAGTGAAATTAAGATTTACCAATTCAAAATCATGGTTAATTGTCATCTTTTCTGTCGTCCTGCATTCAGTTAAAATTTGAATTATGAAAGTTAGTGTCAGTAGTAAGAACATTTGTCAGGTCTAGATCTAAGATATGTTTTACAAAGTATGCCTTATTTCGCTGCTTTTGAACAGGAGCCATAGTCGATTTGTACTGACAAGAAAATCAACGCCGGGAAAAATAAGAACTTGATTCATACCATCTCAATATATAAAAATTCAAATAACTTGAAACAATTTAGTTCTTAGAATTTTCCGATGGTTTCTTATCAACTGTTCTAAAATTCGTATCAACAGTGAAGGGTTTTGATCAAATAATCGGTTCCGTGAATGACCTTATACAGTTGGTAAACATGCGCGAACTTTGGTTATGACTGATGTGTTCACCTAATTTGTTTCGTAGCGAAGTATTGCATTTAATATTTTGTTTTCGTTGGTGATATACCCTTTCAAAAGATGTGATTGAACTGACATTTTTATGATGGAGCGGGGGGGTAGGGGATAGGGGAAGCTCTTCTTCAAATGATGTTCTACAACAGATATAATATATAACAATTATTCACTATTATTTATTTAGTGGCTAGAGGTGGCTTATTTTAAATAAGCTTAAAATTTAAATTTAATATGAACAAGTCAACTAAAAAAAAGTAACGTAAGACTTAAGCTTAATTTGCATTTGTAAACAACAAAACTTTTTCGCCGGTTTTATCAATAAATTCAAGTCAAAAAGACAAAGCTTTACCTGTTAAAACTTCCACCCCGAGCTTCTTCCACCCCGAGCTTCACCTTCTTCGTGTATTTCGGAAACAGCTTGCTTGATTAGTTGTGAAATTTCTTTGTTTGTTACGGCAGCAAACCGGGAAGGCATTTTGCTCGCAACTTACGCGAGTTTGGCGTCGCTCGCTCGGAAGAACTGGAGGTGAATCAGTGAATAGTGGAGGATATTCACTGATTGAGTAGCCAATCAGAGCGCGCGAAAAACACTATCCACTGTTTTAGTAGCAACGGCTGATTGATTTTAGAGAAAAATAATTTGACAGTCCGAGAGTGAAACAAATTTTACATCGAGTTAATATAGTCTTATTTGTACACCTAAAAATAGCAATCATGTTCGATCACAGTAGATTAGGCCTGGAAAACAAATAGACCTATTTGTGTATTGTATTTGCATCATAATGTGGAAATTCCTGAAACAAAACGTTTCATTCCCAAGGGGTTTAAATTGCATGGGTACAACAATGAGTTAACCGAATTGGCCTATTCCCAAACAAAATAACCCAGGCGCCCATCACCTTAATTTTATAAGTTTAATTCACAGTCTCTCTGACAACTTCGTTTGAGAGACTATGGATAATTGGACAGCCCCGAAATATAATTTTATGAATCAAACGATAGTCCTCGGTGGCAGCCAATGTACACGTTCCATTCCTCTGTCTAAAAGGGAGGCCTGAATAAAAAATCAGGCCGGATTTTTTGTCTTCGACAAGTTTACTTTACAAGGAAATCTTGGCGACAAATCTGGTGGCGTGTAAACCAGCCTTTTAAACATACTTTTTTTTCATCAATATCTAGGACGATCGAAGCACGCGCTTCCGATGCACAACAAATTAGCATTGACCACATTATAAAACGTTTTCATGAAGAGAATTCCATCATACCGGGACTTTTTAGTTAGAAAATCTGGTCCTATGTGATATGCAGGGTAATAATTATGGGCTTTTAGTGAAAACAATAAAAAATTCCCAAAATCACCTTTTCGGTCAGCCGGACGGGTTCTCACTTTTGACAAGCAGCAAATTTGCAGTGCGATTAATAAAGTTATACCATTTACGCTTCAACATGATAGAGAATTGTTATTTTTAGGTTTTATTTCCCCTTATGTATAAAACTGTTTATGGTTTTGTTATGTGTAATCTTTAAAAGCGAGGGATATTTACGCACGGCGTTTTGAGTATTCCTACATGCGATGTTTATGTACGACTGAAAACAACCGGTGCAGCGATAAAAATTGTGAGAGGGACTAATAAAAATCAATAAAATAAATATAATTCGGTGAAACATGTACAATAATTTTCATTCACGTTGAAAAGTATTGAGCGTAAAATCATGACTAAGGTAAGCATAAGCTTATTTATGTCTTGAGCCGGCTTCCCGAGATGAACTCGAGGCAAGAAATCGCTCAGAGCTTTCTTTTTACAGCCAAAATCATAACTAAATATTCTTCGGAACGTTTTCTTTCATTGAATTTGCAGTCAAAAAATGTCTAAAGGCTTTTTAAACCTCATACTATTGTAGGTTAGAAACTACTTGTGTATTTAAGCCGCATAAACTACGCTCGACCTCAGGAAACCTAAAAAAAACACACACACACCAAAGACAATAATTGCTCAGGCTTAACAGTCGAGATGCTGTTCCTGAAGGTCATCAAGTCAGGCCAGAATCGCTTGAGACTTTTCAACCCTCTTTGTACGCCTCAAGCAAGGGCAAGTGAGTAAGCTCATTTTTTTTGAAAACGATGCCATCCGAAATCGGATTTCCAATGACTTTGACAAGCTGTGCATTTCTAAACCAAAAGCGCAATAAACAAACCAGCCATGAATTACACAGAACAATCTTGTTAGCAGCTCTGTTTCATTTGGTACATCAAGTAGAAAAAGACAGTTAAAAACATCACAAGATGACACAAAACCCTGTCAGCTTCAGCTATCAGTAAGCAAGTTTCCAGACGCTGCATAAATTTTCTGCATGAACTCACCTTTCAAATTTTGACCAGAGCGTGATCAAAGCGTGACTACTGTGAGAAAAGTCAAAAGCGATTGCCTTCCCAGCATGTAAAAGCCGGTTGAATTTTCGCGTCCGAGAAATCAAAAATCAAAATTTTAAAAGTGCGGTTCATGAACACGACTTGTTTCATATGCATTTCAAAAAAATTGAACTTGAGCCTGCGATCATTTGAAAAGTATCATCATCATCATTTTTATTAGCCTTTTTTTTTACAGCAAATTTTACAGGATACAGCAGGTTGTTAGGCGAGGAGACCTCAAGAAACTACCAGGTTTATAAAGAGAGGCCACCTCGACATCACAATATTATAAGAAATAAGGGCTGCCAAGAGCCATAATAGGACAGAGAGGGAGTCTAAGGGCGTTGGCCGGGATATCTTAATTTCAAAAAAGTTATTTTTAGGACTATGCGGACCACGCGGAAACAATTTCCGGTAAACTGGGTGACTTCCGGAAGACTCCCTTTCACGATTCAGCGCGCCAAAGCGAGGCGGAGTCAACAAATGAAAAAAAATGGCGGCCTAAGTGGAGGAAAAATGTGGAGAGACTTTGAGTTGATAAATTGTCCTTCTTCAACTAAGAACCTACAATAGAAACTGGTTAAAACCTCTACACAAAAGGGTCCTTTACAAACAACGGTAGAAATCAGTTAAAGCGACCGCGTGACCATCGTTTTTGTTGGAACAGCTAAAAAGAGGACAAGTAGCATTGCGGCCGCACAAAACGCGCGGCTCCTACAAAGACGACCGTACAAGCAACTGTGTGGACGTATTTTCTGTTGAAAGAGGAAGGAAAAAAACGTATAGAAGTTTGGAGTATTTCTGTCAAGGACATGACCAGGAATCTTGTGGAACACACCTTTTA